TATATATATATATATATATATATATATATATATATATATATATATATATATATATGTGTATATGTATACTTTAATGTCCTAAACTCTTTTTACACATATGTCGAATTGTTAAGTTCTCTCCCTTTCTCGCATTTAAATAATTTAATCAAGAGAAATATATTATCTCAAATTTAAAAGAAACAAACATGTATATGCATGTATATACATACATACATGTATATACATGTATGCATATATATGTATAAAATAAGAAATACGATCGAATAAAAATGAAATGTTACATATTTAATTTTTGCCAGCAATTAGTAGCACATATATTATAATTTTCGTAAAACATTTATTGAAGTTTCATTCATGTTGTACCCATGTAAAAAGCAAAGTACTATGTTTTTACTGATTTTATCTGAAATTTTTGCTTGCATGTCAATCTGAAATTCCAGCTTTGATTTCGGGTATCATACAATTCGTCGGTACTGTCGTGATCATAGTATTGTTTATATCGTCATTATCTACTACCCTATTAAAGATCTGATTTTTACATTTTTCGAATTCTTCTACCATCTCGTGGAGCTCTCGGTCACCGTTTATGGTTATGATTGGTGCTGGCACCAGCCTCAATGTCTGATGATACAGCCATTCGTCGTGAAGTTGATGAATTTGTTTCAAATATTCCAACGACACTGTGTTCTCTTCCTTTCGTCCTCGTTTCTTCATTCTCTCGTATACAATCTCTGGTGTTGTTTTTAAATATACTAGACAAGAAATAAAGAATAGAGATATATGTGTATATGTTGCAATATGTCTTCTGATGTCTTTTAGTTTAAAATGTTTCTTGTTATATATATATGTGTGTATATATATATACACATATATACATGTATATATGTATAAAATGGTACATACCTATCAAGTCAGTTTCAATATTGGCGTTTCTCAAGCACCAATTATACCACTCTTCCAAGATAGATACTTCAGCATTGCTCAGCAGATTTTTACGCTTTAGATTTTCAACAAAACACATCGCGCTATAGACAGACCTCTCCATAATTTTGAATGGTGAGGGTGTCATACAAGTATGCAGTTGAAGCATTGTCAATTGCACATATGATTGAAATAAGTAAGCATAACGAGTTTGATTTTTATACATTAATTCCTGAAATATATTATATTGTTTGCTATTGTGTACCCCATTATTGAACATATCCATCAAGCCATATTTTATATATTGATTCTTTCATAATTACAATAAAGCATTTATCTTTATTAGCACATATATTTATCTTCTATAAGTATATTATGTATAAAACATACATAATAAAAGAATGTGATAAATACAAATTTATTTTCTGACTCACCAATAAATTTGTCCCAGAAACATCACGCCAAAGTTCAACTGGTTCTTCCAATACTGTGACATTATCAAATTTCTTGAAGTGACTTAGAAATGTTGTTTTGCCACTTCCTATGTTGCCTTCGACGCATACCGTAAAGGGACGCTTGTATAACTTGCCAGCGGAGTCAGACATTTTTATCAACGCTTTGAGAGCTGCTTTGCCTGAAAGATACAACACATGACTGTATTATGCTAAAAATACATTATCCACTTGATTTAATAAAAGATACATTATCCATCAGATTTAATAAAAGAAATAGTTCTAACTACAGATACAATAATCGTTTTCTCAGAAGAGATACAATAATCGTTTTCTCAGAAGAAGTTTATCAATAAAGTAAATAATTTTCAAATGTTTCTTTTCTTAGGATTAAATTAATAATAATATAAAATAATTATATCTTTGTATAAAGACAACAAATACAAGTTTTGACGAAGTTTACGTTATGAGTCTATCGTTATTTCTACGTGGAAGCAATGGCATATTTTTATTATAGTAAATACTGACGATTAATAGAATTGACCGAATAAGTTTATACAGATTATTACACCAATGTCATATTAAGCACTTCATTACCTATCACAATAATCACGAATTGAGATTTGTTGTTTATTTGCCTGTATACACAAACAACTTTTGCGTTGAGACTCGATCCTGTTACCGTAACGTTATCTCGAGAAACTTTACTGACGCTGCAATGTTCTTTTAATAGTCACAAGACCATTCGTCGATCTTTTTATCGAGGAAGAGCGACGATGATCCGTGCAGCACAGATAACCGATGACTGTTGTAAGTTTTTACCGCCAAAATATTCCCGCCACGCGTGGTCACTATTTTAAACGATTGTTGCCACGATGAGAAGCGCCACCTATGTTCACTCGTGAACATAGTCTGCGGTTTCCATGGGTACGTTCAAGGAGCTCGCTATCAACGCCATCGTGTCACTCTATCTTTATTGTATACTAAGGAGCGATAAAGATAGAACCACGCGGTAGTGTTGGTAACGTGCTCCTCGAACACTCCATAAAGAAATGAATACTGTGAATGGGTTGCATTTTGGAAGGTTGATCGTGAAAATTTCCCTCCAGCATAATCTCATGAAAAATAAAAACTTTTGAATGTTTTCGATTTTTATTTTTCATGAGTGAAAAAAAGGAAAATTCGTAATCGGCCTATAATATTAACATCGCTCATTAAGTGTTCAAATAAAGCTTTTCGATTAATTGGTTTGTACCTTCAAATCTTGATCGAATCTGAAGGTATGCACAAACTGAATTCAAGACCTCACTGAACGCTTATAGTGCTGAATGTACGTGACGTTTTTGGGAAGAGAGCGAGAGAGAAACATTCTTTCTATTTCATTGACCTATTATCAATTATTCACTAGTGATGACAAATATGTACGATTCGACATTAATCATACGGTAATAAGGAACTTGTAGTACGATTCTGTAACTCTTAATAAGTGTCGTTAATAGTAATTATATCAATTGTATCTAACGCAATAGACGCCGGTAAGGTTGTACCACATGACAACACAAGTAAAATCTTCGCGAGAGAATGATACTTACCGGTGGAAGACATTGTTACTGGTTCTCAATGCAAGTAAGCGCCACAATATTTGGAATTTTAGATGATGAACATTACAGGTTAACTAAAAGCGACGTTAGACATTCTTGACTACACATGTTCAATAGATTCAACCTGCGCATGATCTGTTTGTCCAGATTGTATCATAACAGGTTTGTTCTTTATAATAGTGAATTTGGTTGCTTGCACTAGTGCACACTAAGCTTGTTTATAGTATGTTATTATATTTAGAGATTATCTTAAATAAATTTTCAAATATTTCTAACCAGTAATATAATATGTACAACATCCGTACGAATCATTTTATTAGCTAAAATGTGTCTAAATATATATTTAAGATACGATCTTAAATATAAGAATGTACTGTAAACGAGACTTAGTACACACTCAGTGCGTATAAGTGCAAGCTACCGAATTGGGTGTATATCAGTTGGACACGGGGCAATTGACACAGTCCAATCACAAGTCGCTGTTCCAAGGGACCCTACAAAAGTCTCTAATCACACGGTGCTGTGATTGGCTGTGTCCAAATGCACCCCTCCCTTTCTGATCGAGATCATAGCACCCATGAGGTAAAAGTGAAGACCGCTAACCATAAGTCTTCTGTACATGAAAAGTAGACTCGTGACCCAAGAATAACTGAAGTACAATGACATTATTGCCCATTTTCAGTCATTCCGTATGACATATATAGATGTTTATGCTAAAATATCAATTTTACAATTATCTGGATATTTTATATACAATAAAGTGCATTGAACTACGAAATTATGCTTTTGTGGAACTATGTTAAATTTTAATTTATACAAATTTGACAATTCTATTTAACTTGCTGTCTTGGCTCTTATTTTGTTGGCAACAACAATATAATTCGATAACACATAAAATAAAATTTTTTGAAAAAGAAAGTCGAAAGTATGGGATTAGGTGAATAACTTATTATACAATAAAATGAAGAATAATTCAAAAATAAATTATTTATTTATGCTAAATTATTTAATTATTTATTTACATTAAAGATAAATTATATATTTATTTATGTTCTTTTCATATAAAGAATGTTTATCGGTTGGACTTAGCAACACGTTCTAACTCGTCCTTCTTCTTGATCGCATACGAATTTGATGAACCTTTGGCCGCATTGATAAGTTCATCGGCTAAGCATTCGCCAATAGTTTTGATGTTACGGAACGCAGCTTCCCTCGCGCCAGTGCACAACAGCCAAATAGCCTGGTTAACACGTCGTAATGGGGACACGTCCACGGCTTGCCTTCTTACAGTACCAGCGCGACCAATACGTGTAGAGTCTTCCCTTGGACCTGAGTTGATGATGGCTGTGACGAGAACCTAAAGTACAAATATTCCAAGAGTGACACCAATTATGCAGTAAAATGATCAAATACAAATTTACACAGCTATAAATTTAAAAAAAAAAAAAAACAAAACAAATTGTAACACAGTATATCTTCAAATTGGACTGATTTGAATTTTTTTTTATACTCAACTGTGCATTTATAGACTGAAATATAAGAGATTTGAAATAACTATTGAACTCACCTGTAGAGGATTCTCACCAGTGAGAAGGTGGATAATCTCAAAGGCATGTTTCACAATTCGCACAGCCATTAATTTCTTTCCATTATTTCTGCCGTGCATCATGAGTGAGTTTGTAAGACGTTCCACAATAGGACACTGGGCTTTCCTGAAGCGTTTAGCTGCATAACGTCCAGCTGAATGTGGAAGGTATTTGGCGTTCTTCTCCTTAACAGCAATGTAATCTTGCAAGGACATGTCATTCACTTGCACATCGTCACAGTTCCAACGCCCGAACAACTTGATCTCAGGTAGTTCAGCCATCATGGTAACTGGTAGTGTATTGGTGGTGGTCACCACCATATCTTCAAACCCTTCTTTATCCTCCATTGTTTATCTAGGAAATAAAAGGAGAATGTTAATAATATTAGTAACAGAACAATGTTAACAAATCAGTTAAAATCAAAACAATTCTCCTGTTTATATCACCAATAGTTTATATACTCTGTTTATATCATCAAAAAGTTACTCTGTTTTAAGATACATTAATCACAATATAAATATGAAAGAAAGAAAATGATCTGAGAAATCACATAATTCCAACATAAAATACAATCTTATGTTGTATTGAAATAATAAATGTTAAAGTATTCAAAACAATATAAAGAAAAATGAACTTCTCGATGAACAATAAAGGATGAATTTTTAACAAATTATACAATATAATTTGTGCACTAAGAGGCAACGTTAGAGAAGCATGATTTATATTCCCAAAAGCATCTACACGTAGTCTGAACCTACACTTCGTGCCGGAACGAAAAAATTCGATATCTCACGATACACTTTCGTACTGTAACAAGTGAATCGCAACCGGGGCAAGACTAACGAACAGAATTCTCCAAAGAAATGTTTGACGAACAACGAAGCTAGCAAACATGTGGCCACGTGGTCACATGTACCGTACTCGGGCGTGAGTTAATCGCGCGAAAACTAATTTACATTTTGTACCTGTACAATCAGTAGCTACAGAGTACCTCTTAATCGTCACCAAACGTTTGCTCTGTCTAATTCCAGCACTATTGCCCGGCAAATTACCTTGGTGTAACAATATTTTCTATTGTAAAACTTACGTTCACGTTTAGATTCGTATAAGCGTGAACAGGAAAAGGACATTGCATCAGTATCGCCATCTGCCCATACACACTCGTTTCCGATCTTGCTGGTCAAATTAACATCTGTACAAAGAAACGCATTGAAATTGGAAGGAATACTTTAAATATTCTTCAGCCTTCTTTAACATTAAAAAAGTGGATAATGTCAATTAATAAGTTCGCTATGTGTGAGAAATTCTGATAAAAATAAATATTGGAAAGATACAGTCGCTGATTTGCTCGGCATCGATAATATGTTATTATAGATCAGAAACTTTATGAATATTTCGTGACTCCTCGCGGGAGAATCACTCATTGGCAGAAAAGAAGAAAACAGAGCCAATCAGGCTAGTGGCCGTTCTCATCGGGTGTATATCAGTTGGACACGGGGCAATTGAACACAGTCCAATCACAAGTCGCTGTTCCAAGGGACCCTACAAAAGTCTCTAATCACACGGTGCTGTGATTGGCTGTGTCCAAATGCACCGTGTCCAAGTGCACCGCTCCCACCGAATTCGCTATAACTGAACTAATAGCGTGTTCGACTGGCTGAGTTAATCGCTCCAAGAGCGATTAATGACGTCATAAGTCTCTACTAACCAATCATAAAGCTTATTTAAAGTACTTGTTTGACCAATAAACATAGGTTGAATAAGCAGAGTGGGTTAGCCCAGGGCTGTATTCAAATCCCCCACCCGGGTGTATTCTATTACTAGAAATGCTATAGTATATGTAACATATACTATAGTGTTTTTAGTAATAGGTGCACCCAGATGAGGAATCTGAACGCACTCCAGAGCCAGTCGAACGTGCTATAACATATAACTAATGCGTACTTTCGGAGTTAAGGTTGGTGATGGCCGTAATCCGTTAACTTATGCCGGAACTGTAAAAAATTGATCAATCATAGTCAATTATCCTTCTATAATTCGACTATGATTGATCAATTTTTTACGGATCCGGCATAAGTTAATAGATTCTGCGCGCACCACGCGGAGTCACTGGTTCTCGCAGACCAGTGCGATGCGCGACGCGACACACGATATACAACGAGCGATATCCAATGAGCGTATTGGTATTCCAGAAAAGCTGTACGCTCATTGGATATCGCGCATTGCATATCGAGTGTCGCGTTGCAAATCGCGCTGGCTGCGAGAGCCATCAGACGGATGGACAGAAGCGTCTCTGTGTGAGAAGTGGAAGGAGTAAAATGCCAATGCGCCCGGACAAGATTTCCCAGCTCTGGGTGGGACCCGATTGACCACGATACGATTGGACACAGATTGTAATGATTGGTTCGATCTAGTAATTTACTAGATAATTCTTTACATCGGTTGGTTGTGTCCAATCGTACTGTGGTCAATCAGAACGCTCCCTATATGTTACATATACTATAGCACTTCTAGTAATAGAATACACCCGGGTGGGAAATCTGAACGCAGCCCCGAATGCTCTATGTTCTGTCGCCCAAGACTGCGTTCAAATTGATTCAGATTTCTCATTCGGGTGCATTCTATTACTAGAAACACTATAGTATATGGCCGATATTCATAGTTGGTTCTTATATTTAAAACTCTCTTAAGTTCATCTTCAGATACTCCGTAGCCAATGAAATGATCCATACGTCATCTGAAGATAAACTTAAGACGGTCTTAAATATAAGACCCGACTATGAATATCGGCTTATGTTAGGCCTTTGCAGAATGCCAGGCAACAGGCAATAGGAATAGACATTAGCTAATAGGAAAAGGGAATAGAAATAACTGACCAATCCGAATTCCTATTCCCTATTCCTATTGCCTGTTGTCTAGCATTCTGCAAGGGCCTTTACATATACTATAGCACTTCTAGTATTATGGCTCCTGCACACAGGATGCGGTAATGGCTGCGTTCAGCAGAGAAAGCTGCTTTTCAACTATTGTAAAATTCGTGAATCTGATTGGTACATGCTCTTGGATTCAACCAAAATTAAGAGGATACTCCAATCAGATTCACGAATTTTACAACAGTTGCAAAGCAGCTTTTTCTGCTGAACGCAACCAATGAGTGCGTTCAGCGCACTCAACAGTTGCACAACAGTTGAGTAAATGTTCGTCAATGTAATTGGTCTAGATTTAGGGATCTAACAGTAAGAACCAATAATCGCTAATTGCTCACTGAACGCTTTTTCCGCTGAACATGCCCAATGTTTGCTGCGCGGCGGAAGTTCGCGCGACAGCCAATCAATATGCTATTTTCCGTAATAACCTTCTAGCTCTTACGGAAAAACAATATATTGATTGGCTGTCGCGCGGACTTCCGCCGCGCGGCAAGCATTACCGCGTCCTGTGTGCAAGAGCCATCACTTACACTTCCGTCACTCTTCGTTTACACTTTATTTATTCTCCAATTTGTATCAGGGAGAAAGAGAGCGAGAATAGAGGGGCTATAGTTTTTTTTTGACACTTTTTTGTTGCGCGTGCATTCATTTCTCATTTCCATAATATTATAAAGCGCAACAACACCCCGACTTATACTGGCAAGTAAAAGTTTTACTTAAATCTTATTGCACACTTTAGGCTTGTTTTTTGTAGCTGCGCTGCCGAACTAGTGCAATAAGTTAGAGTGAGAAAACGTATATTTGTCTCACTTCAATATATTGCACCAGTTCAGTAGTGCAGCTACAAAGAACAGATCTTTTGTCTGTGCAGAAAGAGACAGAGTTCAACGGGACTGCGTTCAGATTTCCCACACGGGTGTATTCTATTACTAGAAGTGCTATAGTATATGTAACATATAGGGAGCGTCCCGATTGACCACGGTACGATTGAACACAACCAATCGATGAAAAGAATTATCTAGTGAATTACTAGGTCGAACCAATCATTACAATCTGTGTCCAATCGTATCGTGATTAATCGTGGTTAATCGGGTCTCACCCGGGGCTGTACACTCGTGGTCTGAAAGATTTGTGTACCGATTGTAAATTTTGAAACGCATCCCAACTTCAGGAGAAAGACAACCACTGCTTGACACGCCAGCGCCGCCGCTTATTACGAGAGCAGGGTCCTTATTCTTGAAATAGTTACGTATATGTAAGTTTATTGCGCAGTTTAATCATACCATAAAATAGTTGCGCAGTAAAACTTACTTATACGCAACTATTTCAAGAATAAGGGCTCAGAAGGATGGCATGTACCGTATATGCCATCCTTCTGGGCAGAGATCATGTAACTTTTCCCCTAGGGCGGAAACGTGAAAAGTGAAAAGTTTCACGTGAACTTGTGATCACGTAACTCTGTGAAACGTGGAAACGTGAAACTTTCCACATGAACTTGTTAGCCATGAAATGTGCTGGCGGAAAAATGAAACTTTAGTGACATGATGAATACGGAATATATTATGCTACTGTTGTGATGAAATACAGGAAACATAACAATCCTAAGATTATAGCGATGTTTTTAAGGTCATATGTTCTACAGCCGATGGATATAGCTGATTTGGCCGATATTGAAATCGTATAGGAACCATGTTTAGTGATTTGTGTTTTTTACGCATAGAGTTACTTGATTGCGTGAACAATGAAAAACTTTACGTGAAATCGATAGAGCGAAAAGTAAAAAGTTCCATTCGAAGTTACGTGATCGCTGCCCTGAAGTTGGGACGCGTTCCGAAATCTACAAAAAATCAGTGCACAAACCTTTCAGACCACGAGTGTACATATTGGCTTCTCTTTTCTGACTATATGCGGAGTCTATGTAGGCTGCGTTCCGAAATTCACTGCCATTATTGAAATTCTATAATATACGTAACATGAACTATAAATGTTCAGTACTGGAAGTGCATTTCGAAACGCAGCCATATATTATGTCTAGGATCTCTTTCTACATGTTGGCTTCACTTTTCTGACCGTATGCGGAGTCCATGTATACTATGTCCATGGGAAATACTCTGTTTTGATTGGTGCATTTTGATCCATCTTCAGAAATGCACCAATCAGAATAGAGTATTTCCATTCAGCAAACAATCCAGCACGAAAACAAGCATCGTGTGCTGCTAGCTTTAATAATCTACTTTCGTCGCGTGTAGTAGTTCCAGTATAGTTAAAAAGAACAAACTGGAACAAACCTTATCTCTATGTATCTGATATCGACGTGAGAAATATTATGGAGTGTCATCACAAAGCGCAGTTTGACGCAATTTAAGGGCACGACGTTAGCTCGTCATTTCAATACATTTCATACAAAGCACAAATATTTAAACTTATAGTTGTGGTGATTTTTACATTCCAAGAATATAATACATGTATTAATGTATTTTTATAATTATTGATTGTCAAAGTTATACTCGCATCAATCTTCACATTTTGATTGTCCCTTAGAAAGTCAACAGTCACTATTTCTACTGTTCTTGAGGTAAGAGTCCTTTTCAGAAATATATACATTAAATAGGTGAAAAGAAATACAAAACAATTGTTCAAGATCAAAATCAACATTTAATTATTGTAGATGATATAATATTGCTTTAAGCAGAATATCTAGAACTTTGTATTTTTCAATGTAAATTGTTTCTCTGATTTTAGATTGTGAAGTATAATTCAAGGTCAAAATGGTTTGCGTTCCATGCTTTGCTATTCCTATATTGCTGATAATATGGAGATTCTTAATACAACCATTATTGATCAAATTGTGGCAATTAAGGAATCAAGGGAAAGAAACCAAGGAGGAACAATCATGCCCAGTTCTGGTGAAAGAATGTAAAAATGGGACATGTACCTTGTCCTGGAAAGATAATCGTGATGATGTAAAAAAGGAAGATTGAGTTTTTTTTCTTTATTGGAATATGTATATGTGATTTGTGCAATCAATATAGATTACTTTAATGTTTACACTTGGTTGCAATGTTATATGAGGCTGTAGGAGAAGCCCAAGTAATTATTTAATATCTGAATTATCTTTTCATGTATATATAAAGAAAAAAATGAGATTAAATATAAATATAGCTCCTTCAAAAAAAAAAAAAAAAATCATTTCACTTTTGTCTAAAATTTCCTGTTAAAATTAATATTTAATAAGTTAAATAATAAATTCTAGAGAGTGATTCATTCTCGGAATATGAATCTTAAAAAAATATGAAGATACATATAAAATGAGATTAGAAAATTCTTATCACACAGTGTCATTTATTTATAAATTTTATCAGAAAATACTCAATACAATAAACAAATGTTGTAAATTTTGCGGAAATCTTCAGTATACATAATTCTGTAAAAATCTTGGTAACATATTTGATCTACTACTATTCAGCTTGACATTTTATTCATTTTATAGATATTTATATTATCAGAATACAAAAAATAACAATATATGGAAGTATTATGGATAGAGATCTCTTGTTACCTTGTTTTCTCTTTTATTTGTGTTTCTGATAACAAATGCTTATTGAGTGTAAGATAGAACTAGTCTAAAATGAAGTACAGTAATAAAATTATGGACATTTGTAAGATAATGTATGAACTTACACAGGTATAGTTAAACTAATTTCTTAACAAGTACTTAAACGTTATACAAATTTAATAAACCTTCCTAAGTTCGATGTCGAATATGAGCGTGCTATTACCAGGAATGATAGGAGGAGAACCTTGTGCTCCATATCTGTAAAAAAAAAAACATTATTTAAATTCATATACACATATGCATATAGAACCTATAATAAACAATGGAATGAGCTATTTGAATAAGAGGCGATTAAAAGATAGAAATGAATGATAATATGAAATTTTAAATAAAAATGGAAAGTCAAATGAACAATTTATACATACGCCATGTTAGGTGGTATCGTAATACGACGCTTTCCACCAACTTTCATTCCGGAGATTCCTATATCCCAACCCTTAATCACTTCTCCTTTACCAAGACGAAATTTAAAACCTTCTCCTTCTAATGTTGAATCGATCTTCTTCCCATTCTTCAAGCGGCCAAAACTGTAAACAGCAACGAATTTTCCTGGTTGCGCCACTGCACCGTTGCCAACTTTCCTTTCCTCTACTAGCACACCACCTGCTAAGACTCGCTTCTTCACCTCGTTTTGAGCATTTTGTTGATGTAGTAGTTTCTGTTCTGCTTTATTCTTTTTTTCTTGTTTACCTTGTTGATCTTGCTTAACTTCTTTTCCGTTTGTTAGTTTTTGCTTATCGTGCTTCTTCTTTGACTGCTGTGATTGTTGTTGTGGCTGTTGTTGTAGCTGCTCTTGGACCTGTTTCCTCTTCTTTTCATGCTGCTGAGGTATAGGTTTCATTGGTTTTTTTTGTTTCTGCTTCTCATTGTCCTCCTCTTCTTCGTCTTCCTCATCTTCTTCATCTTCGTCATCTTCATCTTCTTCATCTTCCTCATCTTCGTCAGTATCATCTACATTATCTTCATCATCTTCGTCCTCGGAATCTTCAGTATCATCTTCGTCGATTCCATCCTCTTCAAGATCATCGTCGTCGTCGTCATCAGACTCTACAATCTCTTGCTGTTTGAGACGTTTCAATTCTTTACCTTGTTTTGGTGATTCTATAGCTTTTCTTTTCGAAAGTTTCTTGTTTACTTTTTCTTCTTCTTCAACCTGCTCATTTTCCAATTCATCAAATTGATCTATGTATTTGTTAAATTCACTTGTATCTTCATCCATAATTAAGTACCCAGTCAGATGAACATGACCTTGACCATTGCATGTGAATGATATCTTAGTCCCTTCTTGAAAATTTAAATCGAGCGGTACTTGCCATATAGAGCCCTTTTTTAAACTGCATAGCAGATAGTTTCGATCTCCGTAACACAATATTACTTGTACTACTTCATCATCTGTATCATGAAACATGTATCCGTAAGAACACAAATAAATATTGTTGTAGATATTAGGTTGCTTGTGATAAAATTATAATTTGTCAACTATAATTACATAGTATTTTAATAAGTAACTTTTTTACATATTTTCTGTCATGTATATGTGTGTGTATACATATACATATATATGTATATGTGTGTATATATATATATACACATATTACAAATAATTTTATAATAATAATACCACAATTGCATTTATGCACTATTTGTGATACATATTTTTTAAATTAATTAATTTATTAATCAAATATATATATATTTGAATTTTTAATCACATTTTAGTTATCAAAAATGATTTTAAAAATAAACGCTTAATATAATAAAAAATTACTGTAAAGTTATCCTCCAGAGAGATGTTTGAACGAACTACCGCAAATGTTATAAATTGTAATCTTAATATTTAAAGGTTAACGTAATCTTTTTTAATGCTAACCTAAAATTTCACGGTGCATTATTTGTTATAACATACATATATATTTCGATATTTTACGTCGGTATACAGTATGTGAACAAATTAATTTATCGAAATACATATCAAACAAGATATATTTTAGTCAAGATCAACGTAATTTTTAAGCGTAATTTCTAATGTTTAACTTACCGGCAGTTGAGAGATCTAAACTTGCCATCGACACGTGGAACGCATTTTCTACGGTTTGCGAATACCGTTTATTTGGTTCCATTATCAAGCCTGCAACGTGAAACCGAGAAAGAGAGTAATAAGAATAATAATTATATATGAGTAATTTTATAAATTTTACTTTAAAGCGCGCAATTTTCAGCAAGCACATGGCAATGCTGTCTCGCAACATGCTTGATCGGCAAACCTCTATTCGAGCAATATTTACGTTTGTATTTACGAATTTGTTAAGTATAAAATTATATTTTACTTACCCCAAAACATTTTGGCTGATTGTTATTTACAGGATTTCTTTGAATAAAATAAAACGTATAATATAATATCCCAACCGTTGGAATTCAAGCTACGTTCATGCAGCTCTGACGAAGTACCGAAATGACCGTAGACAATGTTGTACAATGATGGGTGAAGGAAAGAAGTGATGGAAAATTTGCACATGCGTAGAAAGACTTCAGCCTTCAATTATTGGCTGAGCGCACTATGACTTAAGTGGCCCTACGCCATTGCTCATACATGCAAACTGCGTTTTATCATAGGTCTGTTATTTTTAGCTGCACTGCCTAAACTGATGTTGACTGTGCAATAGGTCTATTCTTTTTAATTAAACTGATTGATTAGAGCACGCTGGTGCTATAAGTTATGCAGGATTCACATCGCGTCCGATGTCCGACATACGACATCCGATATCCAATAGGAGAACAGCTTTCTAATATAAAATTCAATTCTCCATACGGTGTGAATCCTGCATTAGTCCCAACCTAGGGTGCGTTCAGATTCCTCATCCGGGTGCACTCTATTACTAGAAACACTATAGTATATGTGACATATACTATAGCACTTTTAGTAATAGAATACACCCGGGTGGGGAATCTGAACGCAGCCCTACAATAGGTATAGTAAGCTTTAAGCAGGGAGCATATACTTTTCCATAAAAACATAATGCACAACACATGATAAAATAGACCAATCAGAGTCCTTCATTTTCATCATGGCAATAGAAATGAGAACTCTGATTGGTCAATTTTCTTATGCGTTGCGCATCATGCCTTTATGCAAGAGTGTGTGCTCCCCGCTTTAAGCTTTAAGAAATTGACCAATCATAGTCGAAATATAGAAGAATAATCAATCGTAATTGGTTAATTTCTTACGGCTTAAAGCTTATTACACTTATTGTAGATCGGGACTTATGCTATGCACTTGCAGTTATGCCATTTCATGTGCGTTGGGCTTGAGGGTCTTCACACACAAATTGATATAATAGTAACGTAAAAGGCCATCTACGTTAGTTGCAAGTTGCGAATCGGTAAGAAAATTAACTAATCACAGTGAATTTTTGCAAGATTAATCGACTGTGATTAGTTAATTTTCTTGCCGACTTGCAACATGTAACTAATGTAGAATGACCTTAAGAATTGACCAATCACGTTGAGAATCATCGAATCATTAGGTCGCCATTTTTATGAATACTCGATCGTAACTGGTCTATTCTTAAGCCCATTCTACAATTGCGTAAGCGTAGTCGTGATCGTAAGAGTCAACCAATCCAAATGTTTTATTTACTGATTGCTTTATTCTGATTGGTTGTCGTAATCACATACAACCACTTACAACCACGTTCACACAATTGTAGAATGGGCTTTACGTATGCTTACGTTACTGTTATGTCAATTTGTGTGAAATCTCTTAAACTGGTGGCATCAGCCAATCACAGTCGTTGATTCTTGGACCGTAAGAAGAATCAATGACTGTGATTGGTCAATTTGCTAACTGCTTACGTTTACTGCTTAAGTTTTTCTATGTGCCACCAGCTTTAGAGCCTTCACGCACAATTGACATATCAATAACGTAATGGCTCCTGCACACAAAACGCGGTAATGCTTGCCGTGCGGCGGAAGTCCGCGCAGCAGCCAATCAATATGTTGTTTTTCCGTAAGAGAAAAGATTTTTACGGAAAGCAGCATATTGATTGGCTATCGCGCGAACTTCCGCCGCGCGGCAAACATTACCGCGTCTATGTGCAGAAGCCACCCAGACAGCAAGATCTTCTGAGGACGTCCTAAGGACGTCCTGAGGACGAAGAATGTCCTCAGGACGTTCTCAAGATGTCCTCTGGACATCTGTGCTATTAGGTCATAAGCGGGGAACACACACTCTTGCATAAAGGCATAATGCACAACGCATAAGAAAATTGACTAATCAGAGTTCTCATTTCTATTGCCATGATGAAAATGAAGGACTTTGATTGGTTTATTTTCTCATGCGTTGTGCATTATGTCTTTATGGAAGAGTATGTGTTCCCCGCTTTACAGCGCGTAAGTGCCTAAAAAGAACGCAGCCGTAATATTAATATTTATTCAAAATTGCTCTCTCTCTCTCTCTTTCAGAAAAGTCTCAAATATTAACTGATTTAGATACGTTGTAAAATATCAAATTATATGCACGCATAATAAATTATTACATTCTAAAATGAGACGTTATTGCATATTATGCGGAAGAGACTCGGCAAAAGACAATGGAAAAATATAAGTATTATGAATTTAAGCGTTTATCATTTTGAGTTTATCTATACAACTATTGCTAAATGTTTAATGATCTCTAAATTTAATAATTTAACCACAGGTTTTTAATAAAACTATATTTAATCGACTTGTTTTTATGTGTAAATGAATGACAGATTTCATAACCTTTAACGCGTAACAAAATTCATTAAAAAACTTTTATTGACGGATAACTTTTGGAATTTTCTACACACGAGAACAAACTGATGAAGTATAGTGTTATTTAAATTTTAGATGAGATCCTCAAAGTAAATCTTCATTTTATATACTTATATCTATATATTCGGGTGTGTGTGTGTTTGTGTGTGTAAGGGAGAAACTAATATTGTAAATATATTTAAATACATATTTTACTTATACATATTTACAGATTTCCTAAAGATATAGTACGAAGGAAAATATGGTTAAAATTGTGTAAAGTAGATGAAAGACATAACTTCCTGTACTATCCTTTGCAACAAACATTTTAAAGAAAATTTTTCTGATTAGAGCAGGAGACAATTATAAAATTTAAAAACTAGATCATTACCATCTATTGATGTATCAGATAAAATTGAAAAAAAGTATGCTTTATATGTGTTATATATAGAATTTCTATGTATATTTTTGAAAAACAAAAAAAACTATATTTGGTATTTTAAACTTTTGTAGCCCAATACTTTGCTTGTTTTCTGAATTTGGATAAGTTTCAGGTTACCTTGCTCCATGAAAAAGTGAACTGAAATGTTTATGAAATGTTGGAACCAAACACAAGGAAGACGCGGTCCAAACCAAGAAAATAAGCAAAGTAAGAAAGACTGTATCTTATATTTTATTTTTCAGTTAAGAAATTAATATATTTTCATATTACTTCATATGTAAATGTTATATATAGAGGATATAAACTTTTGTGATTATGGATTTAGGTTAGGTCAGGAAATGAATGCTACAAATTCAAGTAATTTATGTCATGAAAGTGATGAAAATCCAATATTAAATAAGAAGCAAACCAATATTAGTAAGTTGGAATAATCTATATATTATTTATAAGTAATATAATGAAATATATATAATATACATGTATATGTAGATATTCACATTAATAATTATATAGTATTGTTAATTCTCTCTCTAGATATATGTGCAACATCAGAATCTATTGTGATAAAGGATATAGAAAAAACAATTTGATATCCTGGTGATATCAATACATCCTTCCTGGAAATAACTCAGAAAACTGAAATAGCTTTAAATACAGCTAAAAAGGCCATTTTAAATCAGAGAAAAAAAAAACATTACAACATGCATTTAATAAATACAGAAAGTAAGGCGTTTAAAGAATCTGGTGGAACAATTAAAAAAAAACAATTTAATCAGTGATAATGTCACAAAAATTTGATTGGCATTGTCGTGTATATTATTATTTTCTGTTTAATGATAAAAAGTTAGACATGAGATAAAATGATGTTGTAGTTAAGCAAGTTGACTAATAGTATTACACATAATTTGCTACAGCCTGTGATCATGTATAGATGTGTATCAACACTCATTTATCAATCTTTGAAATACGCTACAAAAATAATAGTTGCTCTATATACCACATTGAATTATCATTGTATATCTGATCATTTATTTTATATATATATATGTGTGTTACTTTATCATATTACCAAGTAATCCTATATAATATTTGTAACATTTTGTACACATTTTTGTTTTATTTACAGGTCCAAATGTCATACAATACAGGATCTAATAAAGTTAAGAAAAACAGTTAAACGGAACAATTCTCTATGAATCCTTGAGTTTTGAAAATTTATGTTAAAGTATTGATGGAATACTGTTGTCAGTAGTATGGTACAGTGATACACATGTGAATTGCTGTTGCCAAAAAAATAAATCTAAGGAATTTACCTTGTGCCACATTCACAGTTTGTCCTACCATTTTCTGCACACTCATTCATTAACATTCTTTAAAATTCCGCAACAACTACTGCGAAAAGTTTCCAAAACTAGAGGATTTTTTTTCAACTTGATGCTTTACACGAGCGTTGTATTTTTTTAACCGATCGCAAGGAATGTAAACTTCATTTAGCAAGACCATGCATGCTAGGTAACATGCGTATTAGGTGAAAATTTGGCGGGACGTGACTCTGTAGTAGAACGAGAGGAAGAGGGAGACTAGAGAAAGTAGGAGGTGCGCGTGGTTTAGCTCTGGTTAATGGAGTGGGCGTCCGAACAGTTCCCTGCGTACGCCCCTGACGCCCCGGCCAGATCCGAGCAGCTCCAGTCAACTCGGTTGGCTGGCGGTGGTGGCAGCCAATCACGAATAGCGTGAATCATGAGCGACCAATTGACGTGGCTGTGCCATCGTTCGCCGAGCGCAAGTTGCAATGTTGGCGACGTTGCGACCCGCGCACCGCCCCATCGTTCCTTGTCCGTGAGCTGTGCGCCTGTGCGTTGTCGCTATGTTCAGACTGGGGTATCTTTACGACGATATTCGTTAGTATTCGTTCTTCCGTTTCCGAGAGACGTGAATAAGAGGAGGCTAAACGGGGCGTGTAGTGGGTGTATGCACACGTGCGATGAGGTCGCACTAGTTTCCACGATCCATCAAGAGAAATCGTATCGCGTCGTCCTTAGGTCGAGTTTGGCGATTGATTCGCTCGCGTGTGTATCGCTGAACGCTGAACGCCGTGCTTCACGCTGCACGCTGCACGCTGATCGTCGTGCCTCTGTTGCCGTTGATTCTTCGTGTATCGACCAATGCAGGCTAACATAGTTAACAATCGCTACTTATTATAGACATAGTGTATGCGCGGGCGCATACTGCAGCTCGGTGGCGCGCGTTGTGCGGCACGTGCATATGTGTGGCTTTGTGCTTGTGCATACGACGCGCGAACAAAGACGAGTGAGAAAGCCGTGTGTTTCCGGGTGTGACTGGTTTCTCACTGGTTCTACTGCGATCATTCATGCACTCAAATAAGCAGATACGCATAGTGACGCTTCTCGATCGATTCTGACCGAGTTTGTCTCTGACGGACGAATTATCGGAGTGTGAGTCCTCGTTGATCGCGATTACGTGGGTCAGACTTGGCATTCTGTCTCTGTTTGTCGTGTTCCGATTATTGGTTAAACTAATATCGCTAGTATTTGTGTAGGCACGACAAGCCACGGTATCTTCCGGCGAGGTAACACGTGCTCGTTAGGTGTACTTCCAAGTTAGGTGGGTCCCGTTGTGCAAAGTGGGTGGAGGCTGCATCGCGAGTCTGCCTTCCCGTTATCAGCGACGCCAGGGTGTGAGTGAGGAGCGTCACGGGGAACAGCGGGTGAGTGGGCGGGTGTGCGACTTACACATGGTTAGACCGTCATTGTGTTGAAGTCGTGCGCGTGCTTCGATATAAGTCGGGAGGGGCACTTCGAACAGGGGCGTAAGGAGGCGGTCCCCTCGATCGCGAGGTCCCGGTTCTCGCTAGGAGGATGTTCGCGGACTCGCCTCTCGTCGTTTGTTGGCCTTGATTGTTTCCTCTCTGAAGAGTTGCCAGAGCGTTGGGAGCGGTCGAGTTACATGCACGTGGTACTTGCCTCTCGTGCGTTGAGACGCGTGGTCTTCCAAAAATCTATTACTGACTGTATCATATAGTATCATATAGTATCATCTGCATGTGTACACGAGAGGAAAAGAATTTGCAAGAATAATATAATGAATAGAACTAAAAAGAAGTAAAAATGAAGCTGAAGGACAAGCTGAAGAAACAGCTTTCGATTCTCTTTCGTCTTGTTCTCTTTAGCTTTTCACTGAAATTCTTATGGCTCAACTTGGATATTACAAGGTGTCTCAAAATTATCCAAAATATGGTTAGCAGTGCGATTCCGTAACTCATTAACTGCTGTTGACATTACGCAGATATAGTATATGCTAGAAAAGACGCGTAACGACGCACGATATCATCGTTAATGACAATTAACAAGTTATAAAATCATATCTCAGTGATTCCGTAATATATAATGGAAAAGCGCGTCGACAACGTAACAATAACGTTGTTAAGGGCCGATTGTTCCAACTTCTTGGTAAGCTATTTAATAGTTAAATTATATATCTGTTTTTTTTTTAAATTGGACAAAGCTACCCAAGAGAGATAGCTTACCAAGAGGTTGGAACAATCGGCAATAAAGCCTTGTGTCCATGATGTTAAAAATCAGTCCGAAATCTCGATTCGAGAAAATGTAACCAATAAAACTCACTTTTTCGTAAAAGCTGCAAATGAATTGATTGTTTTTTCTCAGATCTCTAGCCGATTTCTAGCATCGTGAACACAAGACTTAAGAACCGTTTTTGTATAGTTTAATTACAAAAGGAAATAGCAAATATCTCAAGTATTAATTAGATGGTGTAGTTTTTGTAAAGGATAAAACAAATTTATAAAAGAATTTAATATACTTTTAGTTGAAGCATTTCCCGTACATTTATTAGAATGTTGTGCTTTCACGTAGTTTAAGTTGGTAACAGTTGTTTTATGGAATTGGTATTTCTGTGAGAGCGTTTTGAGAAGTAACCATGCGGCGTCCAATAAGAGAGTCTATCTTGTGAAACTACTCAAAAATATTCTTTCATTGGACGTCTGCTGCGTATCTAGATATTCGTGAACCATGACTACAATTCTGTCTGACAATTCGATTGTTGTAAGAGTGTTTACGTGTATATGAAAGGTTACACATAACTTCAAAAAATGAATAATAGGTTATACAGTATTAAGTTAATAAAGAAAAGACGATAATAATTTTGATAGATAATCATGAAGCGTCCGTCAAATTGGTATTATTTTTCCACCTTTGTTTATTTTTGGAAATCTCCCGAATGTATTTATAATTTTCTAACAAACTTATATTTCTTACATCATTTAAGATAATATGTATGTGATAAGTATTTAAACTTAAATCTTTTCGTAAATTCATCTCTGTAAATATTGTTTGTATTTACTTGTTTTAGCTGTCAAATTAAGAATTGATATAATTTTGGAATAATTTTATGATTTACATTATTTTATATACTATAAAATTATCAGTATTTTAATAAGAAAATGTATGTAAACTATAAAATTCTTTTTCTGTTTCTTTTTTCAGGAGTATCCCCTCTAGAACAAGTCCTTTTCTGTAGCTATAGACAACATACTTACATTTATGTTATGGAGCCTGAGCACAGTGGTACTTGACGTGAAATGTCATCAGATATATTGTTATAAATTGTGTGCACTGTAAAATATTATCAGTCATCATGAAACGAAGCATAGATGGGAGGAATATTGCACAAGTAAAGTATTCGCTATATATTGTTATTTTTTGCAAAATTTATTTTTCTATATTGATGTTAATATAGATTAATATGAATACATTTATATGGATGGTTAATATATTAATAGTTTTTATAAATATTTAATAGTATATGTATTTGTAATAATAATAGACAGTAATAGTTTATAAATATAGACTGTGTTACATACAACACATTCAGGATAATACAGAAAAAATAGTATTAAAATTACTTGTAGGATGAAATTGAAGAGCAGGATCCTTTGCAAACATCGTTGACGCAACACGATGAAGCAGATGCGCAACAATTAGAGCAACAACAGCAGCAAACTGCCCAGCCACAAATTCGTTTTTTAAGTGCAAATGTGTTGCAGCAATTGCAACAACAGCAAGATGTTCAACAACAGGCGCAACAGCAGCAGCAACAACAACCGCAAGTTATCACTCTACAGCAGCTGCAGAATTTTGTGCCTTTACAAACTCAACAAACACAACACGATCAACAGAGAGCACAAACAATTTCTGTCCAGTCACTGCCCCATCAATTCTTGCAGGTATGTAAAATCGTGATTGTGTGATTTTGTTTGCATAATTGATATAAACATAAAACTGGGCACATATATATTCTTTTAACCTGGCGATTAATAGATCGTTTGTTTTGGCCTCTCTAAATACAATTAATTCGATAATTTATAAATGTACATTTTCATAGGGTGCCCAGATTATTAGTGCTCAGACACAGGCTATTCAACAACAGCAGCAACAAAATCAACAACAACCACAGCAGCAGCAGACTCAACCGCAGCAGCAACAACAACCGCAGCAGCAGCTTAGTTATAGTGTAATTCCACAAATGCAAACTGTTAATATAGATGGACAAGAGGCTCTATTTATTCCGTCCTCCGCAATATCCGCGGCGGGCAATCATCATCAAACGCAACCGACGATGCAATTTGCAACGTCAACAAATGGTCAACAAGTGCAGCTAGGTAGCCAACAGGTGCAATTAGCTAATGGTCAGACTATTATTACACCGCAACCTGTTAGCCTGATAAGAGCACCCAATGTCTTTCCTACTTCGATTATACAGAATATCACAGGACAGACGGTGCAATTACCAACAGGTACGTCTCAATGAAATTAAAATCTTGTCACTTTCTGTTTTTAATATTTTGTACATGCTTGTCTAACTATCTTTGCTCTCTAGTATAATATTAATCAAGTGGTATTCATATATTCTTACAGGTCAAAGTGTACAAGTAAGACCACTTCAGTTTCCTATGCAACATGTTCAACAAACTGTGCCTGTGCAAGTACCAGTCACTGCCAGTAACGGCCAAACCGTTTTTCAGACTGTACACTTTCCTGTTCAAGCCTTGTCAAATGTTTTTAATATGCCTACGACACAAATGATACCTCAAATCACACAAGTAAGTCACAAGACAATCATTTAGATAGTTAAAATAATCAAGTACATATACCGATCGAAAAATAATGAATAGGTTCCATTAATTTTTTACATTGTATGAGTGAAGATATGTATTCTGGTTGTTTTAATTTCAGCAGATACCTCAAGTAGCATCAATAATCTCTCCGAATGGTCATATTCAGCAAGTGCAAATCGCTAATCTGCCACAGCTGCAGAATCTTCAGGTAAAGATAAGTTAAATGTAGTTATAAATAATTTTCTCTGTAATTCTACTAAATTATGTCAACGTAATAATTATAGTCAACAAATAGCACAAATAACTCAGTAAATTGCATGTCAACAGGCGCAGCAACAAGTTGTTCAACAGCAAACCCAGCAACAGGTAGTGCAGTCGGTTCAACAACAGCAACAACAGCAAGTCGCTCAAGCGCAGCAGCAACAACAACAGGTACAAGTGGTGCAACAAGTGATACAACAGCAGCAGCAATCGCAGTCACAAACACAACAGCAGCAAACGCAGCAACAGCAGCAGATACAACAATCTTCCACACCATCATCGACTGTAGCAACTTGGAGCACAACAGTTGCAACTCCTAGCAACGTGCAGGTAAGACATTTTTAAATTAAGAGATTCCTTCTATGTATGTATGCTTATTTGTGTATTCAAAATTGCATAAGAAATTTGATCTTTTTAGGTACTTGGTATAAGCGCGTTAGGAAGAACTGTAACAGGAAATGGTAATGTAATCACCACAAAAGATGGTCAAAAAATTGATGTGCAGGCGTTATCGACTTTAACAAGAGCACCCGACACGGTCGAGGGCGATATTAAAGTAACCAGTATCGACGCTAGTCAATTAGCCAGTGGACAAGTAATACATATCCCTGCTGCACAGTCGACCCAACCTACAGTGCAACCTATTACAATTACGGGTAAATAGATCGTCGATTATTGTCTTAATAGGCACTAAGTAGAAAATTCTCACTTCTCAAACGAATCTGGAATGATACATTTTTTTGTTGTAGGAGCGCAAGGGCAGCAATTGACGCTCATTCCCGCATCCGCGCTAGCAAATTTAACTGCACAACAAAACAACGTGGTGAGGAGCGTGAACAATGGAAGCATAATGCAAATTCAGCCGGCTACTGGGATGAATACGACGAATGGTTTCCTACAATCGATACCTGTGCAAAATATCCCTGGCTTAGGCAATGTGCAAGTAATACCAGCGAGTGCATTGCAACCCGCTACGGTGCAAACGTTACCTGCCACAGCTACTACGCCTATCGTTACTACGCCAACGGTGCAACTTGATTCAAGTGATCCTACAAAGTGGCAGATCCTACAGACGCTTCAATCGAATGGGACTTTAACGACAACCACTCCCATACCCCAACAACAACAACAACAAGTATCGAACACGTCCAATCCCAATGGTGAAGGTGATACTACCAAACAACACCGTAGGAGAGTTGCGTGCACGTGTCCCAATTGCGGTGAAGGAGACAGGTAAGCAATTACTTTTAATTCTATCAAATACTATTCTAAGTACTATTCTAGATACTATTCTAGATACTATTCTAGATACTATTCTAGATTTAAATATTAAATTGGTTCAACTGATTTGTTATGTTTCTATTAAATTTAAGTGTCAAAATCACTGAAAGGATAATAAAAGGAGAGCAAAGAAATCTTTGTTAGATATTAAAAAAAAAATGCTGAGTCAACGTCGTTCATCTGATTTGTAACAATTATTAATCTTTCGAAATTGGATAATTTCGTTTTCTACTTTATTTGATAAACACGACAAACTTCTCGCATCAGCCTAATATTCTAAATTTTATAAAACTATATTCGTTACACACACACATAATTTTAAAAACAATATTCATAACATAATTACGTTTTTATAACATTAATATTTAATAGAAATTGGACGTTAACGACATCAGTTAGGAAATTATGCTGGTTACAAAAAAAATATATATCTATATTGTAGAGGGGAGAAAGGTACATATAAATATATATTATAGATATATTTTATAGATATCTATATTATAGATAGATAATTATATTTTAAAGATACATATAAATATATAATTCTTTCCTATAGAAACCGAGATATAACCAGAAAGCGGCAACATATATGTCACATCGCTGGATGTAATAAAGTTTACGGAAAAACGAGTCATTTACGCGCTCATTTACGCTGGCACACTGGCGAACGACCATTTGTTTGCACCTGGGTATTTTGCGGTAAAAAGTTCACCAGATCCGACGAACTACAAAGGCATCGTAGAACGCACACTGGCGAGAAGCGTTTCCAGTGTACGGAGTGTTCGAAGAAATTCATGCGATCGGATCACTTAACAAAACATGTTAAAACACACACAAAGCTTCGAAGTACGGTACGTATTTAATCGCAGTGCACCGCGACTTATGAAAAAGATTAGGTTCATTAAATACAATGTTTATACAATATAAACAGGAAGCTGCTACTTCTACACAAGAAGGATCTTCCGACAGTCAGTCTTCCACTGAGCAAAAAATCATTATAGCTCTACAAAAGGAAACAGAACAGTCTGATCTCGCTATTCAGGAACAAATTGAGAATATGAAGAACGAGTCAACGAATCACGTAACAAATGAATAAAAAGTTTTTGTACATAACGTCATGGGACAAGAGATATAGATTACTTTTAGTGAAGACTACTAGTAATAATTATTGTACTAATAATTGTTACTATTAGTAATGACAGTTAATATGATTGTAATACAAGCGGAATTATAACTCTGTTTATCTCGAGACAATTTTTTTTAACGGGAAATTGGACTGTTGAAGGAAGAACAGAGAATTACTCTTTAGGATTAAAACTTATCGATTAAGTGATATTTAGTAAGATTTCAGTTTCTGATAATATTAGTAAAAATTAATATTATTACGACTTTGCGTGCGTTAAATTTAAATTAGCGTTAGTTGTCTGAGTGAAAGATTCGAATATTCGATGTAAACATCGCGAGTTCACAGAGATAATCGTAAGGCCTGTTTTTTTTTTAGTTAAGGTTGCACTTTTTGTCTTTAGAATGAAATTATTAGTATAACGACATTGAAGCGAAAAAGAACAAAGTTCCAGTGCAGCACTAATGCAGCTAAAAAAACAGGCCTATTGTTTATAATGTACAATCTATTTTTTTACTACATATATGCGTGCATGAGCGCGCGTATGTATGTATGCTGTATGTATGTATATATTTGTGTGTATATATATATAATGTATATCAATGTATAAAATTTTGCACAAGAAAATTTTACAATTCTGAAAATTTTTTGATATCTTAGTAGAGACAGTAGCTAGAGATATATTCAGCTTTTATTTTATCGGATTATTTTAAATCGAGTAACCGTTGCGCATAATGCGCTACATGAACGCAAAGTTTAAAACAGTTTTGCCTCCTTTGACAATTGTAGTATTTATGTACATACACAACATAAGAAATAATTTTGAGTACTCGTAAGGGAACATTCGCGATGTCCACGTTAGATTGTGATGAAACTGTAATAACTTGTAAAATAATCAAAATTAAGAGATATACGTATTTTTTTATCGACTGAAACGCAAGTTTAGAAGATGAAACTCTCTAAAAGTTTTATCCCTTTTGTGTTAGAGTCGTTAGTTGCAAGTCTCAAGGTCGCAAGAAAATTGACCAATCACAGTCAATTCTTCTCTGGTCGTAAGAAAAACGATTGACTTGCGATTTACAATTAATGTAGTACCGGTCTTAAGTTACTATTGGAAATTTAAAAAATTTTTTAGGTCAATATTTTATTGTTTCTTTTTAATATATAACGTGGTTTTATATATTAACAAATATTATTTTTAAAGATTAATAAAACTGTTAGCTTTAAATTTAAATATATAAAAATCATAATAAAAAGAGTAAGATATCTTTATTCTGAATTCATGTACATATCTATATTTATATGTAAATTATATGTATGTAATATAGATATATCGTGGATGCATTTCTGCGAGTTGCACAATTTTTCGTAACATGTGCAAACGTTCTACTATTGTGTCATTATGCGATTCCCAACAATTATCAAAATAATATAAAAAGAGGGATGTAGCATTGAGAGGTAGTTTCATCCATTAAATTTGCATCCATTCTATTTTGGTTTAATGGCATTTCATGGATAATTAAAATATAAAATAAATGAAGATGTAATAAATAAAGATGCGCTCGATTTCTGGGCGATGGCCCTTGGGGATAGATGCGTTATTACGAGCCAAAGAGATGATGTGCTTATTTACATCCTTCTACACTCAAAAGAATCTATGCACTCCAGTGTACATTAAACAAAAAATATTGATAATGTTTCACACTTAAAACTTTCGTCTACAAGCTCTTTACTCCAATATTTTAAAGTCTCTTTCAAAATAAATGATTTATTATTCGGGATGAAACAACGACGTTCAATAGCATAATACGTTATTTCTTCTGTTGTGTAAACGCGCTCTGGCAGAGGGTTGTCCATCGCGTGACATAGATAACGCGGAAACATTTCTTTGTTTTTATTTGTATACATGACAGTTATTGGCCGAAAAATTTAGGTAACTATATGTAAACATCTAAATGCTACTCACATCTTTTTACGTTACATTCTATCTCATGTTTACAATATAAACGTTAACTTCGTCGACTGCTGCAAACTACACATTGTGGTTGTAAGGATTTACGTTTACGAGTGTGTGCTTGTCCTCTTATATCCTTTTGCTATAGAAATATGTGTAGATACCTTGCGTATCTCTATTTATTTCTATCGCATTATGCGCATTTTTATCATAAATATTAGTTTTCAAGAAAAAGAAAACCGAGAAATAGTGCATCAAGCAGTTTATATGTTTTGAAGAAAACTTTATATTTCTAAAAAACTGCTCGAAATTGAAAAACAAAATTGCTCGTCGCGTATCTGGATGTTTATTCGTCGAGACTCAGAAACTGCTGAAGTATATATACATATCTTAGTACAGTCACTTCACCGGACCAAACTTAAAGATAGAAAATAATTACGATCTAAAATATTCTTTTTGTATACTTTTTACAATTTTAGCGTATATACAAATTAAAAATCGAAACAATATAAGTGCATATGTTTTACGCTAGTTTCCTTTTTTTTTATGATTGCGATCTCTATTGAAGTCAATTCGCATGGCAATAAAATGAGTTTTAAATGCCTCTTTGCAGACGGAAGTATTCTTACATGCACCTAAGTTTATTTTGAAGAATTCGTGATATTCATTGCTTAAATTTATTAATTTGTCCTTTAAACCACGTTTTTCTTTTCAATTTAATGTTACGTTAATACGTTTATGCGTTTGTATTTTACTGAGTCTCGGCGATGTGAAAGAATTGCTTTTTTTTTATATAAATATCAGAAAATCGCTTCCGTCAATTTATTTTGAATTTATCTTGACTATCGCTACTTAAAGCGGAGCTGTCAATATGTAAACAATGTCGAAGACTATGTAAGTTACTCTTACACTTTTACTGGAATTAAATCGTAAAAAGTTCCTTCTCTAACGAAAAAAGTACCAGATTCAAAAACACAAAAACTTTTTATGAAATTTAAATCGAATTGCGGAGTGCAATTAAAAAAAAAAGAAATAATATAAAGACAAATATGCACCCATTATCTATCTATGATTTCTCTTATGTTGATGTTGGTTTAGCGTAATTCGCTGAATGTGGAACAGAACAGTCGTTTTCAACTCAACACTTCACACTGAGATATCGGTCGATTAAGTGACAATATAGTTTAAATTTTGCAGTTATTACATGGTAGTATCTGTAACAAGATATATGCATTAAGGACAAGAAAGTGTTGGAAATTGTAATCAGCATTGTGAAAATAGATATACATTCGGCTAAATTACGCGCGAAACAAGGTAATTAAAAGATAAATATCACTCTCAAATCTCACTCGAGGAAGTACTGGAGCTACTGCCTGTAGATGACGAAGTTGATGACGTGCGGCTATTGTTTGATTCATTAGCTACCCTATGAGATGCACAGACAAATAGAAACAATATATTACTAACAATAAATCATAATCTACTAAAAACAAATAAAATTTATTTAAATAGAAAAAAGGAAGAAAATCGTGTTATTTCGCGGAGAGAATCGTTTGGAATAATTTATCTCTTTATATTTTTATTACACAAGGCAAATTCTCAACTACAGATAAAATTAAGTGAAATTGATCATAATTAAAAAAATTTTTTATATAGACATTTTATTCTTGCATAGAGAAACATTCATAAAGTTGGAGAACTCTAGTAGTTAGTAACTTTGATTCTGATGTTAGTTGGAGTGAGTTACGTGCGACTTTTTTGAAAACACATATATTTGCAAAATAAATAACTCATCAACAAATATATTTCTTTTAAGGAAAAAGAGCTAACCTGAATAAAGCAGCTAAACTGGATCCAACAGTATCTTGGTTCGCTTCGGCTGAACTTTGATCTCCCAAGCTTTGTCTGCAAATCGGACAAGTTCCATGCTGGCACAGAAAAATATCAAATAAGTAAGGTTTACAGTTCGATATTGATGTATCTACATATCATTGATAAAAATGAAAACTTTGGCAATTTTTCTTAGCTTACTAATTCCAGCCATGGCACAATGCATGGTGCATGATAGACATGCTGACAAGGTAGCTGTCTAACTGGTTCCGACAGTTTAAAGTCTTCCCAACAAACGGAACATTGTAGTTTAGAATCTGCACAACACAAACACTTTGATAAAACTTTATATAATTCAATATGTATAATTGCTGTTGTCATTGTGTACAAAATTAGTAGGTTTGTACGTTTTACACGGATGCAAACTAGATGGACAGTATATAACAGTGGGTAAAAAAAGCATTTGTACATTTTATAATCTTGAAAAAATCTAACACAAAATGAAAAATGCTACTACAATATATACTTATGTAATGCAATTAATCAATACAAGTGAGAACACGTAATACATATCTTGTGTGATGAATGTTTGTATGAAGAATGTTTACAGCAAAATAGTAGCTTTTCTGTAACATTATACCTTTCTTACACGTAAAAAAATCTAAAAAAGATAAAGTGTACAAAATACTTTTTTTTTCTCACTGTATAATACTAACCGACTTGACTTTGTGATATGGTAGTTGTGGGTATTTCGTCAATCTGCTTGCGTGGCAAAGGCGGTGGTCCAGTGCCATCCATTTGGTTCAATAATTGCGTAACAATAGCATCTAATCCGTCGCGTCCCCAAACATAATCTCCAGGATTTCCCAAGAACAATCTAATATCGAATCTACATTATTTTGCATTGTTTTAATAATGCCAAAGGATAAATGAGATTTGTTAATAACTTGTTCCTCATAGTTGAATGAGCTTTCTGAATATCTGTATGTTTATTGCTGCCACTGTTGAGAAAATATATTAAAATAACGATATATGTACTAACTTTACAAGAATATACACATCCATAAAAAATTGTTAATTTCGATTAGAAGAAAGAAAACAGGGAGAGGTAGCAAAAAAGGGAAGAAATATTTCAAAAGAAAAAAAAATTAAAACACATGAAAGAATTTCTAGATTTTCTAAACATATTTACGTGACGACCTTTTTTCATATTTTTTTTTCATATTTAAGATGAGTGGAATACACTTTTAAAATTTGATCACCTTATTTCAGTTGCATCTTACATATTACTTGCTTTTTTTAAAATTAATGCTGCAGTAATATAAAATAAAGCATGTAATTCTTTGCTGTTTATAGGAGAAAATCTGTTAAATTAAAATGTGTAATTTATAAATCTGGACATATCTATTACTTGTACTTGTGAGTTATAATCTGTATTCTGTAATTGCATCACTTAATATCGGTTACGAGTAATTATGACAAAATAATATAGAATAACTTACACCGATGGTTGCGCATCTTGCCCCACAGTGTGACCTAAACCTGTGGCTCCTGAGAGGTTGAAGATAAAATCGTGAATGAAATTTTCTACGGGCACCGGTAAGGTTTCTTGTCTCCTTCGGGTGCTATAAATAAAACAATTCAATTATTAACTTCTTAAGTTATTATTACTATATGGTCCGCCGACTGCAAGGTTGTGATTTTTTTCTACATTCTGATTTGCTGACGGCATCGCTTATTCACCTATTTCAATATATTAGAACAAAGAGTGTACAGTGTGTTTCCGAGTGGATCACGAATCTCAAAGTATTAATTTATCATTTTTTCAATTTTTCATTTGCAATATATATATATGTGTGTGTGTGTGTGTGCGTGTGTGCGTGCGTGTGTTGTGTGTACATATATAAACTGAAAACGTACATTCTATATTGGTGTATAAAAAAAAAAACAAATTAAAAAAATTGAATAAGTAATAAATTATAATTAAGCTATAATATTATATCGGTAATGTGCAATGTACTTAGGTACAGGAAAAGCAAAGTGATGTACCTGCTACTACGACGCCCCTCTGGAGGAGTGCGATTCCAATTAGACCTTCTTCTGCTGCCAAGTACATAGTTTCTGCTACTTGCACCTGGTTGTTGATTGGTATTTGAAAGGCCCAATATCATATCTATTAAATCTCGCTCAGCTGGGTGACGTTGCGAAGACTGTATCAAGTGAAGAGCATTTAAAACGATTATAAATATATGTTATATTAGCATGGACAGATATTTTTTACTGGATTAAATTACTCACATGGTATCCTAAAATATCAACGTCAACATCACTTAAATCTTCATTGCTTACATCCACATTTGAGTTGTACTCATTACTGCTAATTTCCAACTCTTCGATGAAACCACTTGAGCATCGTGGACATGTGTAATTCTAAAAGAAAATTCAGCTACATATTATCAATTTTCTATATAACATTTTTTCTATAGTATTGCAGCAAAAAAATTACATAAAGGTAAATTAAAATTGACAAATTCTCTGATCTGATTAAAATGATAGTTGAGTATGGTTGTAAAGAATTAATGAATAATATAGTTGTAAAGAATTAATAAATAATGATTTTGTTTTAAAGATTTATGGTTAACAGTTCTTCCAAACAGTTTGACTATAAGAAACAGAAAAATTATTAATATCTTTCATAAGTATATTTTTCATAAATCACTACCACATCTCTTTGTCAACTAAAAGAATCTATTGTTCTTATTTACTGAATCTTCAATTAGAATATATACAAATGTCAGGACTATATTTAGTTTTAGATATAACGATCAAGTATATTTATATTTGATCAATTTATATATATATATATATACATATATATATATATATATATATATATATATATATATATATACACACTTGATTTGTTACATATTCTAACATATGATACATAATGTTTTTGCATCTTAACAATATTATGCATAAAATTATGAGTAAATTTGATTGGATTAAGTTATCGACTAAGAAGTTAATTAAAGTACATTATTCTTATATATACATGTTTTTTAAATAAATATAAAAAGAAATCGTTTCTTTTAAGAAACTATAATTTTTTAAAAGGCCATACATATTGCTGTGAATTCACACTTTTTACAAATATCATCATGAGTAAGTACATTAGTATACTCATGTAATTAATTCATATTGTTATACTAGAAGATCATAGTGAAACAGCGATACAAGAAAACGTTTACGTGACGAATTTACACTACACCTGGTATTTCGCTGTTTGGCATAAAAAACGAATGTTAGATCGAAGTTTTGCGTAGAAACGGGCGAGAGACGGACTTCCCGCACGTTGTCTCGAAATGACAGTTTCTCGTAATGATCGTTCCTTTACGTGGCATTTGCGCACTCATACGTGCCGAGCAGGCTCAAACAGGCAGTCAAGCCATTAGGTAATGGCCGTGGAAATTATCATGATTTACTTACTGGCAACAAACGCTCAATTTCGACACTGCATTTGTGGCAAAAAAATCGAGACATCGGAGCCCCGTCCACAACGGCTTCCGCCATGTTTTACGTGTCCGTTTCTACTTCTCCGTAGATGTTGGCTTTATAGCTACACTTTCTGCTCTTAAGACAAAATAGACATACGTTTAGGCACGTGAGAGTGAGCGAGAAACGAGAAATAAAGTGTAGTAGGGTGTAACTAGACGACAGACCTTGTTTCGCGGCTACCAGTTAACCAGCAGCTCCAATTTAATAGGTCCAGTTCAACGTTTGGATGAAGCTAACAACGTCTGATTTTGTCGAGCCTTATTCACTGTTCTTCAAGTCACTTTGAACTTGTTACGAATAATTATAGCGATTATCTAGCAGACAAATACCACCGAAGGCAAGATAACATCAAAGATCGACAATTCTTATGAGAGTTGCGCAAGTAGTGTAGTACAAAAAATTCTCGGTGTGCTAACTAACGCCCTCTCGGTAAAGCCATCGAGAAGTCTAAGAACGAACATTTTTGTGATTTAGCAACGATATGTAAGTTAGGATTGTTTGGATTTCACATTATATGAATATACAAACTAACGTAACGACAGGCGTTCTTTACAAGAGACGCAATTAATATGATACTATACTGCTGCAATACGGAATATTTATGTGACACTGTCATTAGAAAAGCGGTCATGTCCAATTTAGCTGTTACCTCATTTTGAAGCGCCTCTGTGTGCATAACTTGAACTGCACAGCCAATTTTCTCTGTAGATAATGTTGTAATTTTCATAATTTTAGTTCTGTGCGATTCTGTAAAGCCCATTCTACAATGCAGTAAATAGTAAAAAGTTGGAAGTAAAACCAATGGCTGCGTTCGACAGAGAAAGCTGCTTTGCAACTGTTGTAAAATTCGTGAATCTGATTGGTACATGCTCTTGGATTCAACCAAAATTAAGAGCATGCTCCAATTAGATTCACGAATTTTACAACAGTTGCAAAGCAGCTTTCTCGACTGAACGCAACCGGCGACATATAGGCCAGTATTCATAGTCAAATCTTATTTCAAACCGTCTTAAGTAATGTCTTAAGATGCGAATACGGCTCTGTGATTGGTTCATGACATCTTAAAACAGTAGTTAAGGGTGCGTTTAAATTCCCTACCCGGGTGCATTCTATTACTAGAAACGCTATAGTATATATAACATATACTGTAGCACTTCTAGTATTAGAATGCACCCGGGTAGAGAATCTGAATGCAGCCTAAGATGATCTTAAATATAAGATCGGACTATGAATACCGGCCATAATGCTTGTTTTCGTGCTGGATTACTTGCTGGATGGAAATACTCTGTTTTGATTGGTGTATTTCCATCCATCTTCAGAAATGCATCAATCAAAATAAAGTATTTCCATCTAGTATTTCAATCCAGCACAAAAACAAGTATCGTGTGCCGCTGGCTTTACAATTTACCATTTACGACTTAAGGTCCGTCTACAATGGGAGTAAAGTATGGTTGTAAGAAGTAAGAGTAAGAAATTAACCAATCACAGTCGATTATTTTTCTCACATTCGACTTTGATTGGTCAATTTCTTACTCTTACTTCTTACAACCCGTATTTACTCCCAATGTAGACGTCCCTTTACTTTAGCTTACTGCTATTGTAGGATGGGCTTTAGGGACGCCGCACACGAATTGATATAACAGTAAGACATACCGTAATTGACCAATCACTTTGAGTATCGTCGAATCGTAAAGTCACCATTTTTGTGAATACTCGATTATAATTGGTCCATTTTTACGGTACGTCTTACGTTACTGTTATGTCAATTCGTGTGCGGCGCCCCTTACAATTATTTACGACGTTTAATTACTACGTTTAAGGCCGATTTATGATGGCCGTAACCTTATGCTATAATCGTAAACTTATGCTGTAATCCATAAGAAATGGACTAATTGTAGTTAACTATTCTTATAATAATCGACTACAATTGGTCAATTTCTTATGGATTACAGTATAAGTTAACAGTTACGGCCATTATAAATCGGCCTTTACTCAATTGTAGAATGGTCTTTATTATATTTAGTAGGTTTACGCCATGTTGGTTTAATTCGCCTCTGGAATCGTCAGAGTGTGCTAAAACGTGTTCATAATAACAGTTTTCCCTCTATAACCATCTATAACGTAGGAAATTAACTCGTGTCTGTCACGTATGATCTTAAAAGCAACGTTCAAAGAATTCATTCTTTAATGATTATCTGGAGATCATAGTTTAGTAATTTTCACATACATTGCGTGTTATATACGTTTTATTTGTATAAACATATACTGTTTTATTGTTAATACCATGACATACTTACACTCGTGGGAAGAATTCGAAAAAGGTGCCGAAAGGTTATATCTGCAAGACCCATTGAATGTATGTTTTGCAATAGTATATTAGACATTATATTTATTATACCATCATTGTGCTAGATACCGTTTATATTTTAATGTGTAGTAATAATAATGTTTAATAACAACTATGATTACATGTTTAGAAGACACAAGCATATTATCTAACATAATATCAAATGTTTCATGTATATAATTTATTAATATTTATTTATTAAACCATAAAAATCATCACGATAATCATTGATTGTGATTCAGAAGACATCACGTAAAAGTATTTTCTTTGCACAATGTTCATATTATTCATAAGTTATATAGTAAATATTATCTTTTACTGTTTTTTTCCACAAGTCATTCTAGTGCAACAATTGAATGAAAAAATCAAGCTTTATATAGAATTTTTTATATTAACTTTATATATCAATCACACATAAAAAATTATATTAAACTAGTTATATTTATCTTATTGTATAAAAAGAATATCTGTTATATTAACTATCTATTTACAAAGTTCTTTTGCTGTTATTTTTGTTGAAACAAAAACATACAAAAGAAAGCTGATAGAGATACAAAAGAATATGCTGATATTGTATGATATAGTAGTTCTACTGTAAATCAAATTTCTTGTAAATTGTAAATAATATCGAATAGCTATTTGTATATTAGATTTTATGTTATTTTATGTTACATTATATTTTTCTTTTTTGTTTCAGACTCGTTACACAATGAAATATTGTCACAGTAAAGGAGTTTTATGTCTAAAATTAACTGACAATCGACAGGTAAGCAATATATTCTACAGTCTATAGATGTGTTTCTTAATATTCCTAGTAAGAACAGTATTAATAGCAGTGATAATTAACATTGCTTACAGTGCCTCCAATATAGAACAGAAATAGCTCAGGACTTAAAAAAGATGGAAAAATTTATAGGCAACCTTATGAGACATATGGCATCGAAAGATAGTTGAATAAGCAAGATTTATATATATATATATATATATATATGAATTTCTTTTTTTACATGAAAAGAAAGCAAAACTTATTCCATCTACGCAACTAAGATTTTGTTATCTCATAAGATTTAATGATTGTGCGATCCACGGATGTTAATTTTGTTCAAGGTACAAAAGCTTTTTTAAATATACAATATGTGCATATAAAACTGTTTTATTTTTCTTTCATTTAAAGTTTCATGATTATTTCGGATGGCTCCGTTGCCTCCTCGTTAAAGTTCTGGAACAAATGAAGTTATCGTATAAATAAAAAATTAAGTGAGATCGCTTCCAATATTTATAATTTATCGAATTTTCTGACATCTCAACAAAATATCGTTTCAAGTACACATTACATATTGCATTAGATATTAATGAAGCCAGATTTGTATCAAATCGAAATTAAATACTCGAGTAAAAAAGAAAGCACAAAGCGACGAAAAACAAGCACTTACGAGATAATGGGTTGAAGAACAGCATCCAGAGTAGTGTCAACGTGAGGGTAGATTTCTTGATTTGAAGGCAGTTCATAGCGTACCTCTCCCCCTAATTGCAATTGTGTCTATACCAAACAAAACCATTTTACTAATCTACTATTTTAGAAGGACATTCCACATTGAATTATTATTTCGTGAAAAACGAAGCAATGTGATTGTCAGCATGCAATTTGAAAATCATGTTGTCGGAAAGGATATGCTCGTCTAGCGCATATGTCTTAGAAATTTACAAATATAATCGAAAGTCGAAATTTATATAAAGAAGATAAGTAGGAGACCTTAGCCATATTTATTTGTAGAAGCATTTAGCAAATGTGTAGGATATTGATGTGATACTGCGTGTATGTACGATTAATATTTCGTAACTATCTCCTATTTTTGTAGTTTATTACTTTTTTTTTTAATAGCAACTACGGATCTCATAATAAGGTAAGATAAAATGCGTCGACTTTAATCATTTGCATATAATTAATTATCCAGGCAAAGTAAAAAGCGTTATATTCGTCTGACGATTGGTTACCTTTAAAGAAATATTTACAAAAAATATTTAATTGCGACACGCATTTTTCCATTGTAATAAATAAAGATAATCGATAATAAGAAATACAAGCAAATCGGAATACGTACTACGTGGGTAGGCTTGCTGCTGTCGGCGGAGCTTGAGCAGCAACTTGAAAAATCCTGCGGCGTACTCTCTCCAAGCCCACTGTCCGTATTATTGCCTATAGCCGATAGTATTCTGTTGTTACGAGTATAATAAAAGTCCCTCCTCGTGCTACATTCATTTCGAGCGTCGGGAAACTTTGCTTCGACTCGACAGCTGCTGCTGGATGTTGTTGACAGCAAGTTATAACTTCCATCACGATTATGTGGCACGACTCTTCTGTCTCTTTTGCCAACAGATCCGACAGTTCTGAAAGTGAATCCTTGACAGTCGTCTGGCACCTCATTCGTTTTCAACAATCACCCAGGTCTATTGCAGATTCCACACTTTTTCTCTCAGGATTGATGCGCATTCTTTTCTCCTTCTTCCTCTTTTTTTTTCTTTTTGTGGATACAATTAACGTATACATATACATACACTGGCTATGTTCTCATGATGCATCACGCTTTATCAAATTCAATAACCATAGATTCAAACATAGACTCCGCTTAATATGCATACGCTTCTCCGAGAAGAATCGCGTTACGACGCATTTTTAAAGCGCAATCTCTCGAAAGTATGAAGAGATTCTAAAAAAATGCACAAGATGCGTCGGGGATGTGTCAGAGGATCAAGTGGGATATACGAGACATGTCGTCAAGGAGATTTGGAGACACCAGGTGTCCCAAGCCTCGAGTGCCGACATCGTCCACCCTCCCGGATACCAATATTTATTACACAAACATATGGCGCATACCATATAACGTACATAATGCAACATGAAATCAAAAACATACAAACAATAATTACGACCCCAGAACGAAGGCGATCGGCACGCATCGCCCCTTTTGAATTCCACGGAACATACAGCCAAAAGCGAGTGAGTGCCAGCTAGGACGTAAAAATAAACAAGGTGCGACAAGCAGTTAATCTCACTTATTTATTAAAGGTTCGTCATGCTTCTCAAAATAAATAATAGGGGCATGCTTAAAGTAGATAATATACATGCTCGAAATAAATAAAAAATACATGCAAAAGATATCGAGAGGAATCGGGGGTGTGTGGGGGTGACTAAACAATGACTACGGATCCCGTCTCATCCTCCAATTGTGGAGGATGGTTGTGGGCATTGCAGACCGTCTTGAGATCATCGTACCTAGGTAGGGACGATGAATCTATGTCGTCCAATCGAGAATTGTTAGTTTGTAACGGGGATTGCTGTACAGATTGCGACTGTACCACCGTGTAGGATATTTCCCGGCGTTGTTGCTCGCTCATTCCACTAGTGTCGACTAGGCCAAATTCCAAGTGTCTGAAAGAGTACGTTTTTTTTGTTTATACCTTTCTTTTCACGAGAAAGAATATTTGTCAATGTGATTAATATTTGTTCAAATAAATATTTCTAGTCTTTTGTTAAAAGGATGAATTTTTTTTTCATGGAAAATATTGTGTGCTTTTTAGGCCAAAATAATCTGTGAATTGTATGGCTGCCTGTAAAAATGATAAAATTTAATTTAGCATTTAATATGCAGTATGTATGTATGTATATACTTTCGAAGTTCGTCCGGCAGTGGTTGTTTTTGAGAAGGACTTCGATGTCTGCTTCTATGTCTTCTTCTAGGCTCCGTATGACTCACCTAGGATAATATCGGTCCAATGTTATAACGTGATTAATTTCAGTACCTTAATAACCTTAATAATATAGTATATAAGTCCGACCACAACACTTACAATAGCCTTTTGCACACCTTCTCCTTTTCGCTTCTGCACTTCTCTCCACTGTGGTTCTGAATCTACCAATTCGTGTCTACTGTAAACAGCAACATATCGGATTCGGTCAGTATCTATTGATCTATTGTATCATACAAAAGCCAACAAATATGTAAACTATTATAAATAATAGTTTCATTTATGGCAGAATATATGCAAATAGTAACTTGATATCAAGATTAAATAGTAATTTACATTAAGAGTAATTCAATTTTCAAAATATTTCAATTAAGTAAGAATTGAAAATTAATAAATATAATAGGTAAGTTTTGATATGCCTTGTTGTATTAGAATTATCAGATTCTAAGAGATAGGGGAGCCATTTTTAATCGAAAAGTGTTATTAACGGAGGTCAGCGAACTCTATTGTTTGCGGGAACCATATCTCATTATCATCAAATTATTTTAATTACATGGTAGTACTCATAAGGGATATCCAGTGTTGAATCTATTTACGAGAGTACCTTACTTATGCAACAATGATGGGAACGAGATGTTATCGTTATGGGAATGCGTGTAGCGTTTCAAGTTAATATATAACTACATACCTAGAAGAACGGGAGTTCCTATGTTTCCTACGATGCTTTCGGTGGCCGGATCTCGTGTCTGAGCCCCTCGAAAGCTCAGACTCACAATCGGAGTGTCTGCTGTGTCGACGGTGACTATGACTATGACTTCTTCTACGATGACCACCACGACTATGACTATCTCCTGAACTTTGACTCTCCACTGAGCTGCTTCGACGTTGGAGTCTACTTAAGAGCTATGTTAACAGAAATAGTATTTATAATCATATGGAGACATGTGTGTATATATATATGTATGTGCTAATTTTCTTAAATTTTTTAATAAGAACCCTCATCTTTTATTGCACGTTCTTGTAACTGATGTCAAAGTGTGTTTTCAAGATAGTACTATTAAACCATTCGTTTTGTTAAAATTTTCTCAAGATAATTACAAATGTAAATCATAGAACGCAGACTTTTTAGTTTAGAAGATATTTTAGGTAGATAGTAGCCCTGCACATATACACACGTGAATGAACATTGCAATAAACTGTATCGGGTTAAGCATAGCATCGTAGGAAAACAAGCGAATACAATTGTCAACTAACTGCCGGTGCCGTTCCCGCGGAGCGAACGGAACGAGGACTAGACGATGTATAAAGACCACGAGGCTGGCTCTGCGTCCACGGTGCGCTTCTCGTGCTCCTCGGACTTGAGGTGTTCACCTGCCTTTGAGTATTGCACAGAACATTGCCGCCAGATGAATTGCTGCACGGATTCGAGATCACGGTAACGGGCGTTTCGACAAATGAGCCGACCATCTCTTGACCCTCGACGACTCGTCTCTGCGCCCGTCGACTGGGAGTCCTTTGAAACGGCGGTGGATTTCTCCTGATTGCTGCGTGCTTCTCCAGAGTGGATTGCGGACTGTACGAATGAAAACGAGAGTACGGACTAAGAGGCGGTGGACCGGTCGCCATTAGTCGGAAGAACGCCTGATGCTCTAAGCAACATTTCCAGAGATGACGACAGGCTCCTTTCGACGGTGTTTCGAAACCGTGCGTTCTTTCCTCGGAATTCTTTTCACTCACTCTCAACATAAAGTACCTGCCCTGGAAATTGGTACAACTCGATATACGTCGTAGAACATAAGTGGACGAGAAATATTAATCACAAATCATATTTTCTAATTATATTTTTAATTATATTCTTGATAGTCGAACGTTCTTCTGCATTATCTACAATCTAAATTGGTCTTGAAGTTTATATATTCTAATATATAACATTTCCAGCGATTAACGACATTACAGAGAGAGGAAAGAGAGAAAGAAAAGTCGATACAGTATATATTTTATATATTTTACCTTATAATAAATTTTATTGATGCGAGGCCAATAGTAATTTCCTACTTTGGTCTTATTGCGTAACAGTATTATCCCGCTCGGCGTTAGACCTAGGAAATACTCTACATTATCCTCACCCTGTCAATGAAAATAATCAGATTTAGTTGGGATTAGCGATGTCAATAACAACGATCAGACAATGTCAATTACATCGTTGCTAACAATAGTCTCACTTACCAGAACGGGATGTAAGTCTACTCCATACATCTCCAGCCACTTCACTTTATCTAGATAATTTAATTCCGCCGCCGAGGGTAACTGACCTCTGGAAAAAAATCGTGAGTACAGTGACAATTCGGGAATCAATAGTCATCGTCAATTAGCGCGACTGATTTTTCATGAAACGCTCTAACGTTACAATTTTGTGAACAGAGAGGCTACAGAAGCTGGAAGAATGGATTCGTATGGATAACCGGACGAGTTGTCTATAGCGTAGTGCCTTGTTAACGTCCATAAACGTTGAATAATTTTGAGGCACACTATCTGAATATTAATCATCAAGCTTGACATACATAAGAGTTTTGTGGATCTCTACTATACGATTCTCCAGCTCCGTGGTTTGGTTGGCGAGGAACCGAAATTCGGTGACATAACCAGGCGAATGTCGTCTGGGATCATAATCGCCGAGTTCCGCTGAAAGAATAAGGCGATATTCGATTAAACAAAATAATCTATATATGCAAGGAATATATTGTACATCTTTGATTTTTTTTAATATGTAAAAGTATATACATGTGTACATACTTTTTAACTTTACGCTTATATGAAATCGTTGATAGATTATAGAAAGACGATTGATTTATACTTTATAAAGTATTCCTATGGAAAATGGATAATCGTAGAAATATAGCGAAAAGCACAACTATTTTTTTCGTGATTATAGTAATAATCGTGAGGGGAAATTCGTCCAATCTTTTCTGCCGTGCTTTCTTCATTACTCGTCCGCATTTCTCTCTCGCATAATGCCCCTTTCTGTCTTTTGCTGTGCGCGTATGTCACCATTGAATACGAGGAAGGGGTATTCATTTCATCTCTTTTGACAAACGATAAGACGCAAACACGAGCGAGTATTTTAGTTTGCTTTCCTTTTTTCCCTATCTCTACGACTTTGAATCTCCCCGTCAGATAACTAACGCGTGGGCCACGGAGGCGGTATCTATTTGCTCGTGTATTACCTGCACACAACGTACGTGAGTTACCACATGCACACAACGTACGTGAGTTTCGGTATTCACTAGTCGTGCTCTCTGCGAAGTTTTTTCTCCCTTCGTGACTTTAATGCTTTTGCTTTATCCGTTTCTTTTCATCATAAGACGAATGATGCCTAGACATACGGTGTGCACAGTATGCATTTGATAGATATACAATATAAAAGCAATAACTTACATTGAACAACATATGCTCCTAATTCTGCGGCTAAGTCGAAAGACACGGGTAATCTTCCTTGCAGAATGTCCTGCTTCACTTGTAGGAAGAACTGGTATCTATGGAAACAAGTTGGAAGTCATGTTACATTGATTCTTTATTTTACATCCCGAAATATCCTGAATTATTGTTAAAGTCAAATGTATTGCAGCATGGAACATTGCAACGAAAAATGTATTTTTTCATTTATTAGTTATACAAAGGGAGAGAGAATAAATAAGCGAATCAGTAAGATTCACAAATACTGCGTTAAACTGTATCATTAGTAGTAATTAAAGATGCCATAATTATTGCCATAGCCATTGCATATTACAGCGTTACATTCTTAATTAGTTCACACTTGGTTGGCTTAAATCCTGGGTCATTTTATTTTGATTTTTTGATTGTATATTTAAGAGCCTTCTACTTGCTACAAGTAAATTACACATGCAGATAATTATTGTAGATAGTATATTATATAATTATTGTAAATAATATATTATTTCTTTTTCTAAATAAATTTATGCAAGCGGGATTAATAAGCTGTTTACTGAGGTAGCTACTCCTTATTGATATTATAATAGAAGCATACATATTACCTTATTGATATTATAATAGAAGCATAGCATTGAGATTACATTGTTAAATATTTTAAATGAAAATAAATTTAGAGATAGAAAGCGAGAAGATGTGTTATTTAGAATTTATTATTGCGATATGATTGTTTTTGCCAGATTGTGAGAACTGGTATCGACAGTAAATTAGTACAAGGGCGAGCGCACGAGCGGATGACGCCGTGAAGCGCGTTGTCCGGTCATGCGCGACGATAGACACGCGCCTATGTATGTATGTATGTACGTATGTATGTATGTATGCATGTACATAAGGCGCCTCGCAACAAATTCGATGCACGTGGAATTCTCGTGCGTCCGCGACGTACCATGATGTCCCTGGAATTTCCTGGAATTTTGAGACGCCGAGCGTGAAAGGATCATTTACACACGAACGTGACGTCGAATAAAAATCACTTGTTATTATACGCACATCGCATATGTATTAAAAAAAAAGGAAGAACAATCGATATTTAAATTTTGCAACACCTCTACTAACGCGCGACTCTTGGAAGTTCTAAATTTTAAATTGTTGTATCATTTTATCAGAAAAATTACAAATATTAAAGATAATGTTATAAGTATGCGAATAAGCGGAGTTAGTATTTGATTAAAGAATGCAAAAATTCATAAATCCATAATCGTTGCAATTTCACAAGTATTGGTTGTGTGAAAAATGGCATAAAGCAGATCGCTAGTCATATAACAGCGGTAATGTAATCTAAGAAGGGGATACTTTGAAAGAAATTATTACAATCGGAAACATATATATCCCATTGAACGAGAATCAGGGGATATACCTGGTAATCTCTTCGATGAGCTTGCACGGATCCGCCGCGTAAAATTTAACGCCGAAGTAGAGAGTGTGAACGTCCGATCCAGGATCACCTTTGTGGATCTTCAGTTGTTTACCGAGTTTCTTACTTTGGTCGAGCCATTGCTAAAAGGCGTGTCGTGTTACCTCGACATTACTACGTTATTAAAATTAATAGAGATTGACGTTAGACACGTAAATTAAATAGATTGCGTCCTACCGTTTGATTTCCCTGATCGAGGTAGCGCAATCCGAAGTAAGAGGTCTCCAACAAGTTGAGATGCTTGAACACTCTGTCCAATAATTCTTGACCCAAGTTTGAGCTCTGGAAAAAATGTACATTTTTCACTTACGGCACCGTGAAAAACGTACGCGTAAGTGTAGACAGTTTTATTGTCTGAATTATTTTCTCAATTTTGAACGCGTTTGCGCGCAACATGTACTATATTAATGAGCCGCTTGGGATCGGCGGGATGGGAGGAGACGACGAGTTTTCTGTTCCCACTGGTGTTGCGAACCGTGACGTTCGTTTGTTACCCGAGGGAAACTAACGGAGCCTCTGGGTACGTGTTTTTCATCGTTAGATGTTTTACATGCGCTCTATTATATGCTCCCCCTTGCATTTGCGTCGTGTACTTCGATGCAACGACTTTGCACACGGAGGAACATAAATTTAACTGACTAATACTCTTCAAAATGTAGAAAGATCAGTGTCTTATTCTAGCCTTCCTTTCTATCTCGATCGCGTGATACGCATATATACGTATGCAGAGTGAAAAACTAGAAATATAGCGTGGCAAATGGCAAATTTGATCTCTTAGCTGTTACGCCAAACATAAAGGAATAAACGAAAGGAAACGTGAAGTCTAGCAAGCAGCGTAATGAAAGTGGCGGACGTTTAAAAGTATAGCAAGAAACTACCGGAGCGGTTAGAAGAAGCGGAAGAAGAAGGAGAAGAAGACGAAAGACCTCGCCCTTTTTTTCCGCCTAAGGCCTAGGAGAGCCGAGGTTCAGGAGATGGGTAATCATCTCCAACTTGCGTGTTCCGAGCGATCCTCCTTTTTTCGTGCGTCTCTCCCTTTCTTTCTTTCTTTCTTTCCATCGGTTATTCAGACGATTTCTTCCATTTTTCATACACAGTGTAATTTAAACATTTATTTAGGCATTCTAATCCTTCCCGCCTGCAGCTCGTTGTGGGAATCGAGAACACTGTAACGCAGTACGTAGAGCAGTTTTCACGATCACTTCAGTGAGAGAAGATGACTTCGACCGGATTGCGTTTGAAATGCACGCCGGATTTCTGCTGAACGATCCAGCATTGATTGCTATACGTAAAATGCAGCGGAAAATGAGAGTGGTGTGGCGAGCCGATTGTACGAGAGATACAATCGGGGGACATGATAATAATGGCGAAGTGGAAATAAGCCGTACCCCCGACTAACGATACTGCATGGAGAGAAAGAGAAGAATGAACAGAGGGAGTCTTGCGGCGGCAAGCAGCCAACGTCGCCGCTTTGTATCAAAGATTCGTTTTCGCTGTCAGCTATCGTGACTAGCTACGGCAACGCCAGCGTCAAGAAAAGCCTCTGCGTCCTACCGTCCGTCCGGATCATGACGGAAGAAAAGGGAGAAAAATGCCGTCGGATATCGCTCGCGGCAAACATTAAGTAGCGCCCTTTGTGTAATTGGTCGATGTCGAAGCGAAGAAAAGATAATCGGAAGCATGAGACAGAACGTTGCAGAGATTCGCGGAACTTCGACAGGACTGACGTCAGTTTTTATTTCTCCGCTAGATAGCTTCGGAAATTACCGTGAAATTAATACTTCGCGGATCGTCATCGTTCCTGTTTTCTTTTCCTTTCCTTCACCGAAGATTCCAGTAAAAATATCGACGCTTAATCGATGAGAATATTAATATTAACCGTTGCAAAGTACACGATCTCATCTCGCGATGGTACTTTCTCTTGCACGTATAACAGCCGTGAGGTGCTCGAAAGACGCTGCGCGTTAATTTAATCAAAATTGCATAGAAAACGAACGCGTCCCGATTGAAAACGCCGATGCATACGTCTGATTCTGTCGGATAAAAAAAGAGGAAGAGTTACGTTTATCCGCTTGCTTTATCTCGACGCATGATGATTCTTTCACGCTGTTACGCTGCAGTTACGGAAGACTGGTTCTACGACTGGCGGGATATAAAACTGGGAAGATACGGACCTGGATGCCGGACCAGTACACCGATAGCGAGATACTGTCTGCAAATATCAAAAATATCTGTAATTCTCGATGCTTCGCGACAGTATCTTTTCCTCATGTATCGTTTCACTCCACTGTGTGTATGCTGTGTGTATGTGTGTGATGTGAGTCTTGTATTAGTTTCTTTCGCATATTAATTAATTTCATCGTTTCAAATAGCATATCCAACCATGAGACTTATTCTGGAGGTATAGCGAATGCGCTAATATGCCTTTTTAATTCCAAGTTTAACTTTACTTAAATGAGCGTTACGTATAAACTCGTTTCAAGTTCATAAACAGGAAGACATAATTAGCGTTCGTTATGGCTCTTATTCTGAATTTTTTTTTAGTTAACGATCTTTAAACTAATTTAAGATATTTCTAAATGTGTTTATAAGCCAATCCCAGAAGGCTTTTATCGATAAAAGAGAGTTTAGAATAAGGACTTATGTGTCCAGAATACGACCCCGTACACGGAGACAATATTGTAGTAAAAATTACAATACAGTTTTAGTAGTTCGGGAATAGACTGGCACTATTACGAAAATTATAATAAAACTACATAGTATAATAAAATATATAATAAAAATAATCATAAATACAGTAATTTTTACTACATTTATGGCAATTTTTATTATGTTTATGGTCACTTTTACGTCTTATTATAATTTTCATTACAGTGCCAGTCTATCCCTGAACTACTAAAATTGTATTGTAATTTTTATTACAATATTTTCTTCATATATTTTGCGTTTCCCGCTCATATGATATTTTGCGAAATTAAGAGAGCTAGCGATTTGCGATCCTCCCCACGCACTTTCGCGGGAGAATACGCTTCTGAAATCGCTGCAGTTTGGTGAGATGCAACGCGCGATCACGCCCACGTATCATAGATTACTCCGTTCCGCATTTCTCCGGATCTCTCATAAACGATGCGGATCACCCTCGTCGTCGTTGGAATTCCCTCCCCCTCGGAGAATAATCTTCTCGTTCTTAACGCACGACTGAATTTCGGTTTAACGTAGCCGGCTTACGGGCGCGTACATACGTATATAAGACACAGTTAAGGATTCGTGCGGGAGATGCTTATACAGGTTCGGAATGTTAATCGACGAAATGAGCTAGACGATGAGAGAAGAGAGGAGAACGGAGGAAGAGAGACGCGCAGCGTAGCGCGGCGCGGTGCGGTGCGGTTCCGAGGAAGAAGAAGAGGAAGAAGAAAAAAAGAGGACGAGTGAGGTTGAAAAGACGCGAGAATTAGTGTGCGGCACGGCGGCGGCCATCGATGATGTGGAGGAGGTACGGCGTTACCCGGTCGTCGTGCAGTGGCCCACCGCCAATTTTGGTATATCGTCTAATAACAGAGAAGACCGAAAGAATTCCGGGTACCCCCGTGATAAGTTGTGCGCGCCTTCTCGTGCGGAGCCTCGCGGTCGGCCATAATCCACCATTCGTAGCCGCCGGGCACGAGTAGCCCTCGCCTTGCCAATCGGCACGGGACTACGAAACGACCATCTAGAAACGAGCTGCCAAAGGAAACGCTATTAATTCCGCTAAATTATAACTTGGCGTCGTATCGCGCTTACGACGTACGGAATTATTGCGCTAAGGCACAATGCGCCGTTCTCATGCGTACGAGAAACGACTTTGTTGTCAAACCGCGTTCCCTGTCATCGTGATGGGGCGATCCCTGAGAAATGCGCCCTCGTCCTCGCGCGTCCTCGAAAATCATGTTGAAAATTGCGTGCGCAGGAGATGGCCTACGATTTGAAATTGAAATGAGAAGCGATAAGTGGAGGAGCGACCGATGGACGGAATAGCTTATCGACTCGGGATTGGAAAAGACGACTCAGCTGTGTGATTCAGCGATTAAATGTTGCACGTTGGAGAAACGATGAAATCTCGAAAGAAGGCCGACAGAGGGAAGACGACCTCGATTGTGAGAGAATCGCGAGAAACGCGTCGAACTTACCAAAACATCTTGCAACAATTCGTGCTCGTCCAGAAGTATCACTTTGCAGTGCAGAAGACGAGGCCTGTTGCTCCTGGTCGGCCTAAGTCCAGGGCATAACCACTCCACCACCATCGCTTTTCCTCCTTCCTCAATTTCTTTCTATATCCTTGCCTCGCGTGCTCAACCGCTCGATGCGTTTGCACTCGCGTTCGCGCTCATCCTGCAAATCGCACGTAAATATTCTCAGTCATTGTCACAGCTGTAGCTTTGAAAGAGAAAGAGCCGATGTACGAGACTTATCGTCCAGCAATAAGAAAATCATACACTGACTATTTTAATATCATACATTGACTTAAACCAAAAATTTTAATTGACAGAGAGTCAACGTATCTCCATGAGTATTATTTATGAAAGGTCATTGTCGCCTCTCCACATAAAGTTTCTCTCTCCAAGTTTGCCTCTCTCGCGAGATAAATTGTAAATTTGCAATATTCGTTCGTCTTTTCACAAAGTGTAGAAAAAAACTCTCATCTATGTTCTAAAATTTGAAAATTTCTAAGAATTGCTTCACACAACGTCAATGATATCAAAGACGGATTCAATGGAAAAGAGTGAAGGGTGTTCAAGTTACAACCTTTTAGCTACTTGCTTTGTTCAATCAATTTCAGTCACGTATGAGAGCCCGAGATAATTTTTTAGTCACAGCACTGTGCTCGATGACACGTGTCACATGGACATGAGGTACAAAATATCGTCACGAATAGCAGTAATCGATTCAACGCTACTCGCTTTTACCGTTAGTTTATAGTTGCCGCTTGAATGGAATGATTTCTAATAGACGCAGACCAGCCAGGCGAATGGGTAACCCAATAATATGCGCGGCACACGTTCAATTTGAAGCGCGTTTGTAATTATGATAAGCTACGTGCCTTATATCAAGAAAGATTTCGAATAGTACAAATGTAGATAACGACGAGAAATAATCCGAGGGAAGTTCCAGTGATATGTTCTCGCTTACCAAGAAGTTATATACATATAGCTTTATACCTTCTTCCACCACGGAGGAATCTTTCAAAACAAGCCCAATTCACGGTATTGTTATTCGAGATACGGCGTTCCCGTCGCACAGCGAGGATTCAAGTGTACCTTTTGTCCTCGTGTACGCTTGAAAAATGTCTGTACAATGTGCCCGAAGTGGCGAGTGCCATTGAACTCCGGATGAGCAGCGAGAGCGTAGTCAGCGTGGAACAGGTTTGGAATCCAGAATCTCCCAATTCAATTTAATATAGAAGAGATAATAGAAATCGACAAGTCTTACGAGCAACTTGTAGTGAATGAAGATGTATCGTTGAATACCTTTTATTTCCTAATAAAAAGCGGCAAAGACGGAGAAAAAAGTCAATCTACGTGGAGTCGGCGGCTTTCTACACTAATTCATCCTAAAAAAGAAAAAGGAAAGATAGACAAAATGAAGTGAAGAGAGAATTCCACGTGCAATGCTGGGTCTCTCTCTTTCTCTCTCTCTCTCTATGATATGTAGTTTGCGTTGAGCACATACTTTGTTCTGATATGCCGACTGGCTTTATTAAGTAGTGATCTTAAGTATGTAATGTCTTTATTTTTCAGGGATATTAACTCTTTTCTATAATCTTCTCTTAGGATATTGTTACGTTATGTTTAGTTCTTGTTCTTGTAATACTTTATTGCGATATTATTATACTGCCATCTACTCTTTTCTTGTAGCTTAAGGGGTCTAATCCCAGGGCGTAAATAAACTATCTATCTATCTATCTCTGCATTAGCATTCGCTTAAATATTACATCGCACTAAAAAAATATTTGAATATTTATTTGCGGGATATGAAGTTTATTTCATAGAAATAAATTTTGTTTCGCAGAAATAAATTTTCAAGTATTGCTTCTCATGCTGAAGGAAAAATACCTGAAAATTTATTTGCGAGATATAATTTTATTTCTGCGAAATAAAGTTTGTTTCTATGAAATAGCTTCATATCCCACAAATAAATTTTCAACCTATCTTTTTCTCAGTGTACACGTTTGACGACGTTTGACGGTGCCTTTGAGAAGGTCTCTCCGTTTTTGTTAATCTCTTTCGCACACTTATCTCTCTTTTTCAGTACTCGCCGAGTACATCGGCTCGTCTCGCTAACGATCGTGTATATTTGCATGGAAATTCGCGCGGAACTCGCGTGTCGTTACTTATCATAGGTGCCTCCGCGCGGAATGACGAAGATTAAAAATACGACTAAGTGGTTTTTCGATCCATCCAACTTTTCACAGACGACATTCCAACGTCATTGTCTAATTAGTGGGCGCGATTTACGCTAAGTGCGAATATACGAATGCACGCGTTTGTACAGTCAGTGAGATCTTTTTCGAAACGCCTTCTCGATTTTTCACGTGCATCCGTGCATATGACAATCGGAGAACGAACAGCACGAAGTAGCGATCGCAACATCGATATAGAACGAAGTTTCGAAGGAAACTGCTTCATGAAAACGAGCCTGATGTATTCGACATTTTCCAATTTCAACACAACAAACTGTGTTAAAATTTAACATATGTATATATATATATATATATATATATATATATATATATATATATATATATATATATCTTGCATACGTTGTAGACATTTTTGATAGTAATTTCGTTCTCTATTTTCCATGACGATTGGACTTGACACCGTTTCAACCAAGTACAACGACAACTTGGTAAATCATAGGTATAATTACAGATATACCTTCGCCAGTTTTCCGTCTTCAGCCAAACAATGTGCAACCAATGCGAATAGAAGTTCTCAGTAAAATTTGGCGCCCTGAAATAATGTCAACAGGCTGTATCTGTGTATGATGTAGAAACGCCGTACAGATGAGCAGAAAAATGTTTCCACTTACTTTGCAAGATTATACAATTAATATATATATATATAAACAAACGATATCTTGATATAACTTTGACGGAAATCGGAACGAAGAGCGTTGGCGTACGGTACAATATACGGGACGACATTAAGAGGAAACTATAGACGAAAGACTTCCAGCACATACCTCCGTCGTGATTTACGCTCCGAATTTTCGTGGTTCCCTGCGTGGAATCGCTCGGGCGGCACTTCCGGCACTTTCCACACTTTTCGGCACTTTCGGCACACCTGTGGCACTCCCGCTAGCAAACACGGACGTCGCAGGCACGGATGTGCTCGCACGGCTTGATATTCCGTTGAATCTCGTCGATCGTATGCGACGTACGCTCGCCGTGCTCGCGACACGACCGGCGAGACGTCTCACCTGATACGTGTGCGCGCCAGGCATCCGGCACGGGATCTCGGCGAAATTCGCTGTCGCACGTATACGGCCCACGTAGTGGATATGTCAGGCGTTCGTCGATGCGGAATCGCCGATTGTACGGAGCGTTTCGATAGCTCGCACCGCTACACGCGCGGACGTGAGCTTGCGACGTGAGCTCGCGCGATCGCGACGGTTGTGACCGGGCGAGTCGCTGCCGACAATACCGCGAATTTCAGCGGCGCGTATCGCGTCGGGGACGGGACGCGAGTTTTCAAGTTATGTGGCGCGACGCGACGCGGCGGCGGGCGACAGGACGAAGCGAGGCAAGCCGAGGCGAGGCGACGCGACTCGCAGCCAGCGACTCGCGGCGCTGCACCGTGCACCGCGATCGGCCGCAACGCGCAAAAGAGAGGGGAAGGAAAGAGCGTAAAGAGAAGGAGACAAAGAAGAATAAGACGAAAGGTGGCGACGTACCGTTTCGTCGTCATCTGGGCTCGAATTGAAAACCGCGTAAGTCACGCCATCGATGAGCCGCTGCCACAAAGACGTCCGGCTCAATTTTCATTTTCGCCGAAGGGGCCCCAGCAGATCCCAAAGTTCCTCGAGACGGATCATTTCCGATCGTCCAACGTAAGCACATCCAGACGTTTTGTCTACGATACAGTTCATTTTATAATACAAAATTACTCAGGCGTACTGTAAGTACGCATTGTAAGATGTACAATGTAAATATATCGTATAATTTTATAAAATGTTATTCTCTGTGGTTATCATTTCTTATATCCACATCAAACTTACCCACGGTCGGTTATTTTCATATCTAACTTACCTGCGGTAGGTAAGTTTTTATCATTGGGAATTGTTCATACTACGTCTTAATACCGACGAGGTATTATTATTATTATTAAAGATCATCAGTGTATGACGAAGCATTAATTTCATAATTTATAATTATCTTGATGTTTTATCGTTAGAGTCCTTGCACAATGCCAGGCTACAGGCAATAAGAATAGTCATATTAGCCAATAGGAACAGAGAATAGAAATAATTGACCAATTCAAATTCCTATTCCCTATTGCCTATTGCCTGACATTCTGTAAAGGTCTTTATATGTGTAGACTAAAGACCGGTTTATGATAGCCGTAATCCGTTAACTTATGCAGAAACCATAAAAAATTGATCAATCACAGTCGATTATTCTTCTATAATTCTTTTATAATATAATTCTTTTATAATTCTTTTATAATTCTTTTATAATATAAAAGTTAACGAATTATGGCCATCATAAATCAACCTTTACAATGAAGTGTATTTAGTATTTTTATGAAACTGTATATTCCTGTAGTTATCATCTGCGCTGATCTTATACATTTTTATCGACAAACTTACCGACAGGAGATTATTAAATAGCGAGATTTCTGGTACACGAGATTCCGTAACGACCAACGGTTTTTATTGGTCTGTTCTTTTCATCTGCACTGCTGAACTGGTACAATAAGTTAGAGTGAGAAAACATATACTTGTCTCACTTTAACTTATTGCATCAATTCAGCAGTGCATCTGAAAAGAACAAATCAGTATTGCTTCGTCAATATCTCGACTATCAATCTTATCGGATACGTTTCCAAATGCATCAAAGAATGTTCTAACCTTTCTGCTTCAACTATGGACAACGATTTCAGTGGGGCTGAAAACTGAATTCAGTGGGGCTAGTCTTATCAGAAAGATGCCTAACCTGTTGTGACTAGAAGTGTTAAAATGACGGCTGCAATGTGAGAGAAAGAGACAGTACTCCCATATAAATAGTTCTCTCTCTCTCACTGCCTGAATTTTCTGCATAAGTTTTATATGGGAAGGTGAGTTGCAGTGATATTAGTTCGATGTGTGGGTATGATTTACTTTGAAATTGTAAATACAAATACAGACAGTATAAATTTTTAATAAATATTTTAAAGTACGTTTGTGATTCGTCGTTGAGAGCAACTCTGCAGCGCCTCTAGTGTTGTTCCGCGTAACATTGTCGGACGTGCAGAACGTATATACAATAGATTTACGCGTTTGTATATTTAGTGAAGGTTACTACGTGGTACGTGTTGGCATGTTTTCCCAATTTGTATTGCCCCAATAAGTGCGTTTTATCATCGCGATATGTCATAAGTACAACGATCATCGCTAATGATAAATACTCGTATATTTATCGGATAATACGTGCGACGCTGATTATAAACGCGTAAAATGGCGTGGTTTGGAGACAGTTTGGCTAGCCTCTCTAATTTAAAGGGACAAATTGCGAACTTTACAAAGGACGTTCTGTCTGAGGGTATCGTTGACGAAGTAGGTGCGTATAAGTGTGCTGACGTTGTAATGTGATTCCAAATCTTTGCATTTTTATCGATACACAAATGACCAACAAAAAGCTAGGTTACATATATCAGATGATGGTTCTGTTTTATCGGCCGAGAAATCCATTTAACAGCTGGCGGGAGTAACTAGCACTTGTAAAATTATTTTATAGATTCTCACGAAATATTATATTGAAAATAATTGCTTATTAACAGATGAGAACTTTTCGTGAGATCACCTGTATATAGATGCGATTACAATCTTGATTGAAAATCGGTGTATATTTTAAATATATATTTTGTTAAGAGTTTTATATTTGAATGCAACAAACAATACAAGATCTCTCTTTGTGCATTCTTTTAATTCCTGAATCTCTTCTCCATGTGGTGTGCAAAATGTTATTATACCAAGTTCTATAATTACTTATAACAATCTTCTAGATATATTTAATTTTGGTTTTTATAATGTGAAGATTTTACATGTTAATAATTTTATATATTAATTATTTAGAAAAACACTATTTGAAAGATACAATTAAAAGATACAACTCAAGACATGACAGGCTTAAATTGAATGTCGCAGCATTAGATTTGAAACTATGACATGATTAGTATCAAACGACAGCGAAAGAAGGATATTATTATATCTTTGAATCACTTAGTTCTGCTTTATTATAAGAACTGCAGAATAGTCAGTTAGATATAAATAAACAGTAACTGTGTATGCTATGTAATAGTAATAGTGGTAATTGTTTGGTTATTACTTTTTTACAGATGAACGAGCAAAGGCATTGAAAGAAGCGATTGAGAGATGCAGCCAGCTGGAGGATTTGCTCAATACCAAAGATGCTGAAGTAAGTATATTTATATCAGAAATTTGTATTTTTTTTTTCAAATGCTAATCTTTATTTATATCCTCAAAGATATATTAATCAAGTATATTAATTAAACTTATACATATTGATTTGAATTGTATTCTTATATTTTAGATGCATTACTTTTATTGCAATAATTACAATCGACCAGACAACGAAATCTGGAAGAATCAAAAGTACTTTAATGGAAACTGTGTATGTGTGCGTGTGTCTGTCACTTAGGCATTTAATAACAAATTACAGAGGTTTTTTTAAATTCCAGGTATTAGTGTTTTTGTATACTAATAATAGACAACAACTTATTATTCAGCTTTTCCTCAAATGATTCTCAATAATAGCTTATATATAAATATATCCTTTACGTTCTGCTGAGAGTCATTGGATATACGCACAGATGTCTGCTGGCCTGATAAGCGAGGAGTTACACTGTGATTAGAAATTATTTTAACAGATGTCGCGTTCTCCCTAATAATCGTGAACGAGTGTAATGCAAACACGTGTGCGTTTTATCCGTTAATATATTACTACCTGGAATCTTTTGAATCGCGTGGGATAGATCTCACGTAGATATCGACGTTGTACGTAAAAAGAATGAAAAGGAGGAAAATCGATCAGTGAGTGAGTTTAGGTGAAAAGATTTTGAAGAGAAAGAAGCGAATAAACCGGTGTGAGACACTTCATATAATTACACGACGAAACACTTTCTATCGCGAACGACAGTCGAGAGGGGTTTTGGCGGCATACACTGAGGGTCGTACAAGATAACGCATCGAGAATCGGAAAGTGGGGACCGTTATCGTAATGCAAACATGAGATAAGGACGGCAAATGTAAACGCTCATCGTGCGTCCTGTATCCACAACGGTACCACCGGACTTCCTTCTGATTGTGCTTCCTAATATTTAAGGCGGAGACGCGATTATCTCAACCGTCTAGTTCACGATAGCATCTTTCTTCGCTTGAAATCGTGCTGATTTCTTTTTCTTTATTCTTCTTCACACAGTACGGTATCTTTATTCGTCTCAAAAATCACGCGCGCTCCTCTTCGTTTTCCGCGCTGCAGACTTGATAAACTTCAATCTCGTCAGTTCTAAATTACACCTGTGTACATTATACAATTGTATAATTCTTTTGTTAGATTATTATTTTTGGTTGCACATACTTTTTTAACGATATGCGTCCTTATTCTTTTCTGAATAAATTTCTCTTTAATCGCACACTCCTTATTAATGTCTCTCAAATGGAGTCTCCGCTGTGACACACGCGCACACACACAGAGGAAAAAATAAAAGGAGCAAAATTAGCATGTCGATTGCGACAGTTGTAGCCGTGATGATATCTCGCTATATTCAGCAATGCACAAGCTTACAATAATCCTTTCTTGCGTACAGATCTCCCTTCTGCGCCGACAAAACTACGAATTACAGACAGCCGTAGTCGAGATTAACGCAAAGCCCAAAGAATCGGTAAGTCGACGATTCTACATTCAACAATTCGCATGCCATGTAATCGTAAGAAGCGCACATTATATAATATCGAACATAACACTTTCTCTGACGTTTATTCGAGCCATAATTCGTCATTGTTGCCGGAATATCCGCGTAATATCGGGCGGGCAACGCGCACGGTGATTCTTTCCTTTCAAACGCAAGCGCGGTTTTTCGCGAACGTTCGACGCGTCAGTTATCACCTTTTCAAATGTAAGAGCCGCTCGCGATTACGTGACCTATAAACCGCACAGCGACGTAGTGTGTACACCTTCGTGCGCGCCACGCACACGCAAAGAGGTCGTATCCTCTCTCGTTAACATAGTCGAAACCTCAATCACCCAGCAGCGCGATAATTTATTGTTACGTCATTATAATAATAAGGATAATGCACACATGCAACGACCTTAAGTCACCTGGCCGTCGTTGTGGCTCATTAAGTTGCGAACATGATGATATAAGTGTGTACACACGCGAGGTGTGCGAGTGCGCTCTCGCGCGATAACAAAAGCTAGCCGTTCGGCATTACCTGGATAGATACTGTGCGTGATAGCAGTTGCGTTAATAGCAAAAAAGGTAATTTTTTTTTATCGGTTTCCAGATAAGAGACTTTTGTTTCGATGGCGCGTTCGCGGCACGTTTAGTCATATAACTTCATCGGCAGAATATCGTAACTTCAACAAATATGTGCGCCCGCGCCGTTCCTTTTTTTTTTTTTTTTTAATAGAAAAGCGTAAAGCAAGGTAACGACAATGGAAACGTTGTTGCAAGGTCTAACTTGGTAAGTATATTATTGAAGCATAAGACAGGCGGAGTTATCAGGGCGGACGAGGGAATAATACAAGATTAAATTGGCAGCTCAATCGATACCCAAGCGCGCTAACAGCACGAGGAGAGATAATTTATGGCGAAAGGAGGAAATGTACGAATTAACAGTAGAAGGGAATTGAAGTAGGAAGTCGAGAATATGTTACATTTTGAAAAATAATAATTATTTTGCGTGGCGGACGCGGAGGAGATATTATAGTAAAAATTACAACGAAATCCTGTCCACAGAAAATTACGACCGAAATTATTATATATTTGCTTAAAAATAAAAAATGTTATATGCACGCTTGACTTTGCTGTAGAATTATTATAATTGAATATTTTTTTTATATTAGGTAGATTATCAAATTTACTATCTCTTATTAATATAATTTGTATTTACTATATTTGTGTCGTGTATGACTTTTATATATTGTGATGCTAGAATCTCAATATAATCCAGTCTCACAGAAAGCATTGTAAAGAAAGATATAATTTTAATGTAATTTTTACTGTAAAATTTTCTCCTTTCTTAGTGTGCATTTTTTTAAGGATGATAATGACAACTTCTCGTGTAAAATTAACGAAAAAGCTCACAATCGTAAATTCAAAGCACACCTGTTCATCAGGCTCGAACTATATAGCGCGCCTTGGAACACCTTAAATTTTCGGCAACGTTAAGACGTATCGTTGTGTAGGACGCGCGCTTGCCCGCGGGGAGTTAGCTAAGAATGGCAGATAAGAAGGTAACCGCGCGTTCTTACACTTTATTACGTATCTTGGATCAACAAAGGATCGGTCCTGCCTGTGTGCATGGAACGCGTCACGAAGCTCTCCGAGAAGAGAACATGTTGTGCAACCTCTTTCGAATAAATCGACACGGTTGTCCTCTGCAAATTCCTTTTTGTTTCTCATCTCGATTACTGTCGCATTTTCGTTATATCGCCATCGCGATGATCCGCGGACAATGAGGAGGAAACCGTCGTGTAAGTGTGCATGCTGTTTACGAGCGAGTTTTGTCGATTTATTCGTGTAAACGAGTGCCAACACCCTCGGGAAACGCGCAGAGAGCTGGAGTGTTTCGATTTTCCAACTCCCTCGAGTCGTGACGCCTCGAAGGCTTGCAAAAAATGCAAGGCAGAAGATGGAAGGATGCGATGACTCATCGACCACGTGTTATTACGTATGTCGCGAGTGCAGCGGCTTAATAGTCCTTGAAATTCATCGAAAATTACTTAATGTATCGTTTATTGTTCAAGGGACGATAAACTTTTTGCGTATCTTCGTCCTTCGTTTTCGAACAAGAAGGTGGCTTACTGATACGTTGCCGCGATGTAAGTGTTATCGCGTAATAAGCAGTCGTTACGAAATTACGTTCGCGAGCAATTTCGTAAAACGTTGTGCATAATAATGTGATATGAACGATGCTACACGGTCGCGCGCTACGTTAATCCTTCGCGTATTAAACTTGACGCCGTTGCTGAAACGTTTCTCTGTTCGCTCGTCGAGCGTTTCAGGGAGGGATTGTATTTCGGCTTTCAAGACGATCGAGGGTTTCCGTTTCGTAGTTTAAACGTCGTAGTTCGGATTGTCCTTGATACGTTTTCGCGCAAAAGCGAAATAATTCGACGATCGAGGATTTAAATGCGCGGAACTGAAAGAAAAGGTGAGGAAAATCTAATATTATATTTGATATACAGAGAGGATTTCATAATAAAAATTGCTATAGAATTTTTGTAACACATATGTGCTACTTATATTTTAAGAATTGAAATATACTACTGTCAAATATTTGCTACATTTCTAGCGATATTTACGATGTTTCTTAGCAAGATAGATTTTACTGACTATATATTCCTGAATTACTAACAAGGAAACACCGCAAACCCGAACTCTTTGATTTTGATATACTTTTGTGAGTATGTAGAGTAAATCAATACATGAATAACAGTATATTCCATTTGTGTCTTGTCGCTATTCAAAGGTATGATTTATACTCTCAAAGTAAAAAGGACGATTCCACTTTTTTGTGTATTATTTTCAAATTAAAGGAGATAGAAAACAATTTTTTCGAGTAAATGATAAGTTAAATGCTGTAAATATTGACATAAGCATAAATAAAAAAATATCTATAGAAAATTTTTTTACAGTAAAAAAGGTATTTTATTTATGCTTATGTTAATATTTGAGCACTTAACTTACCATTAAACTTTTACTCGAAAAAATTGTTTTTATTTCCTTTAATTTGAGAGTAATACACGAAAAAGTGGGATCGTCCTTTTTACTTTTTTTTAAGAAAATGGAAAGAAATATTTGTGTATTAATTTTACGTAGATTTGATACATAAATCATTCTTTTTTTATATTAGTCTGACACGAATAATTCCTCGTAAATACATTGCACGCAATCAGCTCGAGAACTTTAACATCGAACGTCATGTGTGCGAATTTTACGATACAATGGCGTCCCGCAGTTCGTTTCGGCCGATCGATCTCGATTGGTAGCCTCGCGTAGCACCCTACAGTTTTACTTTCGCCGATAACGGACTGAAGTACGATAAGCGACGCTTAGTTACTATAAGGGTGGCTTAGTTTTCGATAGTGACTATGACGACTACTCGCGAACGCATGACTATAAATACAAGTCGGACGAGCTTGCATCAGAAATTAACCGAGTGCCATTCGCGCGATAAAGTTCCCTGGGTTAAAGTTTTGCTTTCGAAAGAGTCGAAAAGGTATGTGATACTATATGCATTCATGCGTATTCAGTGTCTGCCATTATCACTCGTTTCTATATTATTGTTCAAGATTCTCTGTTTAATATTGCGCGTTTATCTCGCAAAATTTCAAGCTTTTCCACAATTCATCTTGACTATGGCCCAAAGTGCAAAAGCCGGCGTAATACCCGAGTCGAAATTTCGATCCTACTTTCAGCCTTACTATTCCATTCAACATCTATTTTGATACTTTGCAATCTACATCAACTCTTTTGATTCTGTTTAATCTACCTCTGTCAAAATGTTGATCTTACTTTCAGCCTCGTTATTCCACTCAACACCTTTTGATATTTTGAAGTCTATTTTGACGCTGAAGCAAATGAGAAGAGAAATTTTAGATATCATCAGAGTTAAAATAGGAGTAAATTGTATCATTGGAATTAAACTTACTTAACTAATTCAGTTCCTACTGCGTTGTAGAATTCAAGATTTAACATATAGAGCCAAAATTTTATTAATTTCAATAATTTTATTCCAATTATAGCGTCGATGAGCAATCCTATTGAATCAATAGCATTTTCTTTTTCATGAATCGTTTTATACACACACACTCTGTTGTTGAACTCGCGATCTCGCTAATCAGGCAGCCCACAGTTTTGGGAACACCGCGACGTGTCACGGGATATATTTTTCAAGAGCATCAGAGGGACATAACGACAGGAGGTTAGCATAGCGTAGGGACGAACGGTACAATAACATCGTTAGAACGCTGCATTAGCATAACACTACCCGCGAGGATACTGCCACGTATTATTATCCGATCTATAGTCGTTTTCGATCGTTTCACCTCAACCTCGGTTCGTCATCCTTCCCCTTTCTTTTGTCAGAGGCGAGCCGTTTTTCGTAGCTCCGTCGAAAACCAACGGTGATACGCCGAGAATGAAACATCGTATACTACGGTAAGACTCGTCGATACGAGTCCTCGTCGTGAAGAAACAGCCAGATAAAGGCAAATTAAAAGGAGAGAAAAAACAAAACGCTCGTCGAAACGTGATGTATGAATGGTGAGACGGATTCTCGTCGGTGTTCCGCGTGCCCATAATATCGGTGCTTTTCTAACATTATCGTTATGATTCATCGTAGCTGACAGCGAGACGAGACGATCAGTTATTTATATTTCTCATTGTATTCCCCGTTTTCCCCTGCTGTGAACACGGTACACTTTCGCGTACACCCGAGCGAAAGAACGGGTCTCCGTGGTCTTCGTAGGGGACAATTCCGCTGTGGCGATCGCCACCAGTGCTTTGGCTAATGCTCTGCCATTTCCTTCAGCTGTGCCCGCAGCGTGAGCGCTGCCATAGGGGCCGATAAAAGTGTCCTGTGTCAACGTCTGTGTTAATAACAGCGACACGTCGTACATTCGTACACGGTGCACGCGGCAGTCCGCCTTAGGAAG